CCCAACCCTCAACCTCCCCTCAAATGTCGCTATGGAAGCCCATAAAGGGACAGCGTACTACAAGTGTCTTGTATTTAAAGCAAACACCCAACAACATAATGCCCGTTGTTTGGGACCTAACGATTTCGCCAACGACAGACGTGAACGGCAAATATCGCTCGCCTGCGTGTACTTTTCAGCTGTTGTATCCTCGATGCGTGACCGAGCCGACTACGAATATCAGACACGGAAAAATCGGTAACGGTAAACTGGATTGCATTACAAGCATGCACTGCAGGTTTATCTGAACTGAATCAGCAGACGTCAAGACGTTTCAACTAGAAAGATTGTCACCCTGGCAAAGTGCATCCAGTCTATTTGTGTCGCATTGTGTAACCATCTGATTAATGACGGTTTATGATGCAAGGCTCAGGGCGTTTTTAAGTAAGGTAATCAGGGTTAATTATAGTTCAAACTTCATTGCAAACGGTCACCCCATAGTTTTGCTCTGTTCCTTTTCCACCAGGATGCGTTTTAAGTAAAAAGAAAAAGGTCCTTTACACGATAGACTCATTTCCTGGGGAGTTTCCCCAAAAGTCCTATAATAAGGGGAGTGGGGTGGGTGTGAGTTTCTTTCTTTCTTCTTTTTCTTCTTCTTCTTTTCTTTTTTTCTTCTTCTCCTTCTTCTTCTTCTTCTTCTTCTTCTTCTTCTTCTTCTTCTTCTTCTTCTTCTTCTTCTTCTTCTTCTTCTTCTTCTTCTTCTTCTTCTTATTATTATTATTATTATTATTATTATTATTATTATTATTATTATTATTATTTTTCTGTTCGACCTAAGAAGATTACCTTTATCTGATCTGCAGTGTTGTCGCTAGTATGAACTACTGAATCCCTATCCCCATGTGGGAGGAATTTTTCATTATTTTTCAAGCCCTACACTGCTTGTTGCCGTGGGCCCTAATATAACCTTACGGTTAAACTGGGTTCCTCCACGGGTGATCTTCATACAAATGGTTGCACTTTGTGTCACCAGGTGTTTATTGCTCAGTGTTATGTCCTCGTAAGGTAAAAAGTCAGTCAGTCAGTATGAACTTCACTGTCTTGTGAAATTTGGCTTCATCTGGTGTTTTCTCTTGGCCAGAACCTTGGGACTGGGATGCAAACTGTGGATATTTTAGGGCGGGCCCTTAACCTTTTTTAGGGTGGTGGTGGTGGTGGGAGAGTGCCCTGTAAAGGACTGACAGTTTCCATGTATGTGTAAGACCGGTGGATTAGGGTTAAATGCTGACAGGTTAATGAAAGTCTTGGCGAAGGAGAAGTCACGAAGTAAGAATACCGCTTCGAAACAGAGCACAATGTTGGCGACAAACGAATGCAAGTAACACACACTGGAAATACAGACGCAGTATGCGATAAAAACAACAGTACCTTTTTTTAGCTGACCACAAACAGGGAAAATCCACAGGTCACGGAACAGTCAAATATTTTAGGGGGTAATAGATTAAGCGTATAGTTTTGGTCAGGTTAGAGTTAGGGTTAGTGTTAGTGTTAGTTTAAGACGCGAAAACCTTGGCTTAGGAAGAAACGCCATAAAGCACAGAAAACCCGCTCTTACCACTTTTTAACATATTAGACTGTCCCGTGACGTCATTTGTGGTCGTCTAAAAAAAAAAAAAAGTACCAAATAACCAACACATGACATCCACAACCGTCTCCCTCTATCCCACAGAAGGCCTTGTGACACCCTTAAAATATCGGAGTCTTAGCGTTAGTATTAAATGATGGAAGCACTTGGCAGGTGGCCCTAAATTCTTAGGCCCCTCCCTGCGCCCCCCCCCCCCCCCTCCCCCGTGTCTACACAGCCAAAAAAAAGTGATAAAACCGACTGAAATGACAGACAGTTAAATGAACAACGGACCAACCCCATCTCCTATTTCCAGCAACTCTTTAGGAATTCCTTACGATCTCAAAGCTGCTGAGATGGGTTGAAATAAAAGTATAGTACCAGAAATTACAAAAATGGCGTTGTTAGGCCCCCTGCAGATTGTGAGGCCCAGAGTTGTAGCTTATTTGTCTGGCTGTGGTCTTACGACATGCCGGGTAGGATGTAGCATTACTTCTGTCTCAAGTCCTGATAGTACACCGTCTGTATGGCTCATACAAGAGTCTGTATGGCTCATACAAGTGTCTTTGTGGCTCATACAAGAGTCTGTATGGCTCATACAAGTGTCTTTGTGGCTCATACAAGAGTCTGTATGGCTCATACAAGTGTAAGGTTCATACAAGAGTCTGTATGGCTCATACAAGTGTAAGGTTCATACAAGAGTCTGCATGGCTCATACAAGTGTAAGGTTCATACAAGAGTCTGTATGGCTCATACAAGTGTAAGGTTCATACAAGAGTCTGTATGGCTCATACAAGAGTCTGCATGGCTCATACAAGAGTCTGCATGGCTCATACAAGAGTCTGTATGGCTCATACAAGAGTCTGTATGGCTCATACAAGAGTCTACATGGCTCATACAAGAGTCTGTATGGCTCATACAAGAGTCTGCATGGCTCATACAAGAGTCTGTATGGCTCATACAAGAGTCTGTATGGCTCATACAAGAGTCTGCATGGCTCATACAAGAGTCTGTATGGCTCATACAAGAGTCTGCATGGCTCATACAAGAGTCTGCATGGCTCATACAAGAGTCTGTATGGCTCATACAAGTGTCTTTGTGGCTCATACAAGAGTCTGTATGGCTCATACAAGTGTAAGGTTCATACAAGAGTCTGTATGGCTCATACAAGTGTAAGGTTCATACAAGAGTCTGTATGGCTCATACAAGAGTCTGCATGGCTCATACAAGAGTCTGCATGGCTCATACAAGAGTCTGCATGGCTCATACAAGAGTATGTATGGCTCATTTAAGAGTCTGTATGGTACCTACAAGAGTCTGTATGGCTCATACAAGAGTCTTTATGGCTCATATAAGAGTATTATGGCTCATACAAGAGTCTGTATGGCTCACACAAGAGTCTATATGGCTCATACAAGAGTCTGTGTGGCTCATATAAGAGTGTATGGCTCATACAAGAGTCTGCATGGCTCATACAAGAGTCTGTATGACTCATACAAGAGTGTGCGGCTCATACAAGAGTCAGTATGGCCATTAAAAGAGTCTGCATGGCTCATACAAGAGTCTGCATGGCTCATACAAGAGTCTGTGTGGCTCATATAAGAGTCTGTGTGGCTCATACAAGAGTGTATGGCTCATACAAGAGCCTGTATGGCTCCTATAAGAGTCTGTCTGGCTCATACAAGAGTGCGCAGACTGTTGGACAGTCTTGTGCTTTGCTCCCGTATATGTTTCATAATTAAAAGGTGAAAGGGGGAGGAGGTGTTCAAGGGGGTCTAAACCGTGTTTAATTATAAAAATAATAGTAATAAAAATATATAATTTAGTCAGTCAGCTTGTCCTATACAGCAGGCACGTTAAACTGAGGCATGGTGTCCGCCTCGAGTGCTAGAGGTTCCTGGTTAAGTCCCAGATGGGTGGTTGGGATTTTTTCATGTCAATTTGACTTCTAATAATTTTGGTCTCTAGGTAGTGAGATCAGGCGCCCGTGTGCATTGTTTCGCACGTAAAAAAATCCCTTGGCGGTTGGAAATCGAAAAGGGTAGCTTAACGGCGCTGCCAGGGAAACAATTTGGAGTTAAAAATCTACCCTAAGTATTTCAGGATCCTCGCCGGTGCTAAAGAACCCGTGCACTGTTCTGAGCTTCTTCGGACTCAAGACTTGAGTTAGAAGAAGAACGGAGCACTTATGGGTTACACCTGTGTGCCTTGATGTTGATCCGTTCTTCAAAACCTCAAACCTCAAAATTAGAGAGTCAGGGTTTGGTTCTTTTTTGTTTAACGACCACATCACGCGTAGTTTAGGGAAATCCCACATTATGGGGGATGAGGGTGGCAGGGGGGAGGCGGCTTAGGGTTAGCAGTAGTCGCCATTTATTTAACACTACCGCTAACCCCTCTTTTTAAATGGGATGTTCCTAAATCACGCGTGATATATGTCTGTCTGTCTGTCTGTCTGTCTGTCTGTCTGTCTGTCTGTCTGTCTGTCTGTCTGTCTGTCTGTCTGTCTGTCTGTCTGTCTGTCTGTCTGTCTGTCTGTCTGTCTGTCTGTCTGTCTGTCTGTCTGTCTGTCTGTCTGTCTGTGTGGGTGGGTTGGTGGGTGGGTGGGGGGGTGGGGTGTAGGTAGGTAGGTAGGTAGGTAGATAAGTAGGTAGGTAGGTAGGTAGGTATGTATTTAAGGAGGTACGTAGGTAAGTAGGTAGGTAGGTAGGTGTGTGTGTGCGTGCGTGCGTTTGTGTCTGTGTGTGCGTGTATGTACGTATGTATCTGTGTGTGTGTATATATATATATTTCAGATGGACCACCACCACACCCCTTTCCACGTTTCGGCGTCTGCTGAGACGTTCACGTTACTTATATATGTGTTGTGTGTTGTTTCTTGTCATTCCGCTGATGAACGCTGATCACTTCAAAGTCTTCCATTTATTTATTACAAGTGGTTTTTGAAAGCTGACGTATACTTTACGTGTTTAAAACAAAAAATAATTTTAAAATTGTTATCTTTATCAAAGGCTAACAAAGTAGAAATGATGTTATTAGACAGACTGTAGGAACAACACCATGCAACAAATTCAGTGAGAAACAGCAGATTGAATGGTTTGGTCATTTAGTTAGAATGCAGCCAGAACAACCACTAACGCTGGCGCTACACATTAAAAGATCTGAAGTGAAACCAGGAGGCCGCCCTAGGAGATCATGGATAGATGACATTAAAAAGCCTCTACATCGATAAGGAATGACATTAGCAATTGCTGCTCATCAATCAGTGTCTCGCAAACTGTCCCTCCCCTCAACGCTCAACAACAGAAGTGGATTTTGATGATGATGATCTTTTGCAGACTGTTTCATATCCCTGTTAAACAATAATGTAATATAACTAACCTGTGTACTTTAACAGGATGGAGAGATTTTGGGCAGAAGAGCTAGCAGAGAAAGGAGAGAAAGAAGCCTCGTTCGGCCGAGCCGTCTACAAGTCGTTCAAAACTAGAATCATCATTGGAGCGTTTGCCAGCCTTGTGTATGCGTTTCTGGGCCTGGCAAATCCAGTAAGTTTGTGTGTGCGCGCACTGTGCGCGTGCGCGTCAAGTGTTGAGGTGGGTGGGTGGATGGGTATGTGTGGCGTAGGCATAGACGGTGAGGGATCTGAGATCAGATTTGCTGATATTGCTGACCCATTCCCCCCCCCCCTCTTCCTACTTTACATGGAGCTGAACGGTTACATTTACCCACATGCAGAAATAATGTTAAAAAGTATTTGCTCATACATTTTTTTTTATTTTACACAAATTATTATATCTATTTGACATTCAGCATATAATAATAATTATTATTGTTATGCTCTCAAACTAGGATGCCCCCATGTATGTGTGTGTAAATATTCACACGCACAACCACACACACACACACACACACACACACACACACACACATATATATATAAGTATGTGTGCGAATGTGCTCATGTATATGTGTCCTGATGTAATTGTGTTGCATATATATTGTTGCATATATGCGTGGTGTGTTGGTGGTTTGTGTGTGTGTGTGTGTGTCTGCCTGTCTCTGTGTGTGTGTGTGTGTGTGTGTGTGTGTGTGTGTGTGTGTGTGGTTGGGTGTTATGGTATGGTGTACTGTACGGTATATATGTATGTATGTATGATTGTATTGTATTGTATTGTATTTATGCATGTATTGCATTTATGTATGTATTGTATGTATGAATTGTATGTATGTATTGTATGTGTGTATTATATATAAGTCTTGTGTGTGTGTGTGCATATATGTATGTATGTATTTATTTATTCATGTGCACATGCAAGTGAGTGTGTTTATTGAAAAATAAATACCAATGAAACAAGGCGTAGTCAGATGAAATCTTTGAATGGTTTTATTTCTTCTTCTTCTTCTTTTCCTCCCCTCCTCCTCCTTGCCTTCACCGGCTGTAAACTTTGGTGGGAAGTTCCTGTTGTTCATCCACTTCTGGATTGTTATCTTGTTTCAGAACTTTTGCGTGCACATCTAGCTTACGTGTATGCAGGCTGTTGGTTTCACACGTCTCAGGCAGATGCACTTCGACTTCAAAGGAAAGAACCCTCATTAGTCAATTATTACAAATTTCTTGTTGAGGAAAAAGGAGAGGGGAAGGCAGTTGAGTTCTTTCCTCCCCCCTCCACCTAAAAATGGGCTCTGGAACCCCACAGAAAAGTGGGAGGGAACTTTATTTCAAACATATGCTAAATTTACCAGTCTGGAATAGCCCTAAATGTAAACATAAAAGTAAAGGCCCCTTATGAAAAGTTATGAAGGCCTTTTTTTTATTTTAAATATGGCAATACAATAAGGCAGTGATAGTGGTTGTTAGAAAGGCCAGATTTCTGTAACTATGCTGTGACCAAATGTTAAAGTTAAGAGAGCACCTTATACTTTGAAGAGGAAGTATGGGCTAGAAGTATATCAGGTGTTTCTCCAAACTAAAAAAAATGCCAAGAAAATAAACAGAACAAAACAAAATAAATGCTATTATTGAATATGTGAGATGGTTTACTCAATTTTGTTAGATGTTGGTGATTCGGTACTTTTTGGATTACCTGACTGAGGAGGACGTCACAGTGAAGACTGGCATCATGTACGCGGTGATCCTGGGTGTGAACCTGCTACTCAGAGGTCTGGTGGGCGCTTTCTTCTGGATGCTCAACTATGAAGCAGGTGAGCTTTACATTGCCAGCTAACACCATCATCATCAACTGCCCTGCTGATAAGCATAGGCGGTACAGGGGAACAGTTTAGTGTATTACTATCTAACATTGTCACAATGTTAGTGGCCACATTAGCCAGGTCGATAGGAGACTTGCTTTCAAATCTAGCTGTGACTCGCTGCAGTCCTCTGCCAGTGTTCATTGTGGGAAATGAGTAGCAGATCTGGACAAGATTCAACACAAAAAATGAAAGGTTAATCATATGTATGATACTTAGTGTGGGCTAAGGGTCTAAACAACAGTCAACATACACAGTGGTCAGATGTTTTGGGCATCTATGGTGTTTGATAAAACAGTCAAACCAAATCTGGTAAATATCAAAGTCAAACCACATCTGGTAAATATCAAAGTAAAACCACATCTGGTAAATATCAAAGTAAAATCACATCTGGTAAATATCAAAGTAAAACCACATCTGGTAAATAACAAAGTAAAACCACATCTGGTAAATATCAAAGTAAAACCACATCTGGTAAATATCAAAGTCAAACCACATCTGGTAAATATAAAAGTCAAACCACATCTGGTAAATATCAAAGTCAAAACCACATCTGGTAAATATCAAAGTAAAACCACATCTGGTAAATATCAAAGTAAAACCACATCTGGTAAATATCAAAGTAAAACCACATCTGGTAAATATCAAAGTAAAACCACATCTGGTAAATAACAAAAGTTGAATTACTGAAAAAAAAGACAACCACTGTCTAGTTTTGTAGTATGGCATGTGATAAGCTTTAGAAACAAATCATTTATGTTCAAGAGAATCTTGCATGAACATGTTCAGTTTAAACAAAAATAATTTCACATAACAGATCGACCCAGTCTAAAATGGGTCACAGGTAATGTCCTGGGAAGTAAAGGCAGCTGCCATGACGTTGACCACATAACTCATTGAGTGCCAATAGGGTTACAAAATTTGAGTCTAGCACCATGTATCTGAAAAGCCACGGCCATGAATTGAGTGGAATTAATTGTTCTTCCTATGCTTAGCATTCACTGCTGTAAACTCTGATGGAAAAATTATGATTGTTCATTCACTTGTTGACTTTTTTCTTGTTCTGGAACTTGAGTTTTGCATGCACATCCGTTTCACAGATCTGCTGGCTTTTTTGCATACAGCCTGTTTTGTTGTGACCTCTCAGGCAGATGCTCTACAACTTCCAAATAAACATACCTAATTAGTCACTTTTAAAAAAATGTACTGCTAGAGGACCAGCAGGTGCTGGAACTTTACGGACTGGGATACAATCTTTGCCAGTTTTGAAGACTGAGCGACGGCCACAGCCACAGCCAGGTCTACAACCACAGCCACGGCCAAAGCCACAGCCACAACCACAGCCATAGCCACAGCCACAACCACAAACACAACCACAGCCACGGCCACAACCACAAACACAACCACAGCCACGGCCACAGCCACAGCCACAGCCACGGCCACAAACACAACCACGGCCACAGCCACAGCCACGGCCACAACCACAGCCACGGCCACAGCCACAGCCACGGCCACAAACACAAACACAGCCACGGCCACAGCCACGGCCACAACCACAAACACAACCACAGCCATGGCCACAGCCACAGATACAGCCACGGCCACAAACACAACCACAGCCACGGCCACAAACACAACCACAGCCACGGCCACAACCACAAACACAACCACAGCCAAAACCACAGCCACAACCACAAACACAACCACAGCCAAAACCACAGCCACAACCATAGCCATGGCCACAGCCACGGCCACAACCACAAACACAACCACAGCCAAAACCACAGCCACAACCACAAACACAACCACAGCCACGGCCACAGCCACAGCCACAGCCAGGTCTACAACCACAGCCAAAACCACAGCCACAACCATAGCCATGGCCAAAGCCACGGCCACAGCCACAACCACAGCCATGGCCACAGCCACGGCCACAGCCACAACCATAGCCATGGCCACAGCCACGGCCACAGCCACAGCCACAGCCAGGTCTACAACCACAGCCAAAACCACAGCCACAACCATAGCCATGGCCACAGCCACGGCCACAGCCACAACCACAGCCATGGCCACAGCCACGGCCACAGCCACAACCACAGCCATGGCCACAACCACAGCCACGGCCACAACCACAAACACAACCACAGCCAAAACCACAAACACAGCCACAGCCATGGCCACAGCCACAACCACAAACACAACCACAGCCACGGCCACAGCCACAGCCACAGCCAGGTCTACAACCACAGCCAAAACCACAGCCACAACCATAGCCATGGCCACAGCCACGGCCACAGCCACAACCACAAACACAACCACAGCCACGGCCACAACCACAAACACAACCACAGCCAAAACCACAGCCACAACCACAGCCACAACCACAAACACAACCACAAACACAACCACAGCCATGGCCACAACCACAACCATGGCCACAGCCACAACCCCAGCCACAACCACAACCACAGCCATGGCTACAACCACAGCCACAGCCGCAGCCAAGCCACAACCACGGCCACAACCACAGCCACAGCCACAACCATGGCCATAAAAAAACGAGTGCACTTACCAATATACCCTCATGGCATTTGCAGTGACATCTGGCACTTGCAAAGGATTCATGGGCTAACTAGAAATTTGAGAGAAGGTCACAACTGAGATAAAGTTGGTAAATGCCATTTGTTGACATTTGAATTCTCCGTACAGGTTCTAGGGGTCCCATTTTGGGGAAGGGGTCAAATTTTGTCTGGGCAGCACCATTAGGCTACTCTTTACAATTTCCAACAGCCAAGGGATGTTTTACATGCGCAACAATACACACGGGCATCTGTTCTTACTACCCAGAGACCAGGGGAAATTACTAGAAGTCCACATGAAAAAATCCCAGCCTTCACCGGAGTTTGAACCCAGGACCTCCAGCACTTGAGGCGGATGCCATACCTCGAGATCACACATCCCCCTGAAATTTTCAAAAGTTTGATATAAATTATAACAACCAGGCAATTTGTAACTTGTCAGTATTGTTGTTAAAGATGCCAAGAGTGTTAAGCATGTGACATAAGGGTGCAAATGAACATAATAATGTCATAATGATAGTTTAAAGACGGCCACCCCACTTTTGACATGTACCAAAGAGGAGCAGCATTCTGTTATCCATTTGTTGTAGTCTATAAAGGGGTGAAACCTTTAGAAATTCATCATCCAGTGTGGTGATGCATACCTGTCTGTCCAGCAAGTGTATAAGTGGAGTAGAACTTTTCAAAACAGGGTTATTTATACAATGGTCTCCCCATTTACACACCATTGGTTGTAGGTCAACTCCATTGATAAGTTGGTTGAACTAGTCTACCATGGTCGAGGTTATGGGTGTCGCAGTCTGTTTTTGTCTTTCATTTACATTGTTATTTCCGAGAAATAGATGGCCTGTGACATAGGTTTTGTCACTCTCTAGGGGGGATTGTGTGTTAGACCCAGTATCTATATAGTTTTAGAAGTGTTAAAAGCTCTGGCATAGTGAAATATACAACACGCGGTATCAGGGCGAGTGTGGGATATCCCAGTGACCATGTGTAAAAGTCGGATCGCTCGAGGCTGACCTATCAGAGGTGAGGTGGTCAGTAGGTCATTCAGTCAGAAGCGAGCAAGTGTGTAACGATGTGTAAATGGGGAGACCAGCGTAAAATTTACCTAGAACAGTGTAACTTCTGTCACAGACCATTCATGACCAGGTCAGGCACACCAAACAGTGACCCCAGAGTCAGTTGTGGCCGCTGAAGGCCTAATACAGGAAAACCGCCAATTGAGTGTGAGTGGCATTGCCGCACATCTTGATATCAGTAAAGGTTCAACACACCACATCATCCATGATGTGCTATGGCAATGTTCTTCAAGCCGTGGGCCACAGGAAATGTCCAGGTAGACAGCCAACAATTTCTGATCATCCTGTAAAAGGAAAAGAATATTGCTCTCTGAGTTACAGAGTTATCACATTGTTGGTCATTTTTCAACTTCCTGTTTTGTGAAAAGACTTTCTCAGCCTTTTCATTAAAAAAAATTTGCATAACATTTTTTTACTGCAGTACTTCATCTATCAGAAACAACACTCTTAACCATGTACATAAGAAAGATTTTCTTAAATTCTAAGCAGCAGCAGATATTGAATTAGCTGAAAATTTTAATTTTGCCACATCAGATTTACAAATAAACTGCCTCCACATTTATTTTTGCTTCTGTGTTGATAAGTTTTCAGATGGGCTGTGAAACAGTTTCCCCCATTTTGATGGGTTGCGGGTGTAAAAGGGTTGAGAAACACTGTGCTGTGGTACTATAAAGTGTCTGCAGATATAAAGTGTCTGCAGAATAAAGTGTCTGCAGATGTCTACACTGGCCAGGCTGTCAGTTAAATCTTCAGGCTCAAGACTGCCACTCTCATACCCCACCCCCACATGGCCTTGAACTGTAGTATACAAAAGGCAATAAAGACAATGTGTTGAACTGACTTTCCTTGGGATCTCTCCTAGCAACTAGAATCAAGTATGGCTCCTTGGCACTGTTGTACAGGAAAGTTCTACATGTGAAGACTTTGAAAGACAAAACTGTTGGTGATGTGAGTAACCTTGTTTCTTTGTGTCAGTGTTGGTCTTGTTGTGGTGTTATCCAGATGTGATGTTTAAGGTCATTGTGATGTTATGTTCAAGTCGTGTTTGAAGTCATTGTGGTGTTATGATGAAATCATGTTTAAGGTCATTGTGATGTTATGATGAAGTCATGTTTGAGGTCATTGTGATGTTATGATGAAGTCATGTTTGAAGTCATTGTGATGTTATGATGAAGTCATGTTTGAGGTCATTGTGATGTTATGATGAAGTCATGTTTGAGGTCATTGTGATGTTATGATGAAGTCATGTTTGAGGTCATTGTGATGTTATGATGAAGTCATGTTTGAGGTCATTGTGATGTTATGATGAAGTCATGTTTGAGGTCATTGTGATGTTATGATGAAGTCATGTTTGAGGTCATTGTGATGTTATGATATAGTCATGTTTGAGGTCATTGTGATGTTATGATGAAGTCATGTTTGAGGTCGTTGCGATGTTATGATGAAGTCATGTTTGAGGTCATTGTGATGTTATGATGAAGTCAGGTTTGAGGTCATTGTGATGTTAGGATGAAGTCATGTTTGAGGTCATTGCGATGTTATGATGAAGTCATGTTTGAGGTCATTGTGATGTTATGATGAAGTCATGTTTGAGGTCATTGTGATGTTATGATGAAGTCATGTTTAAGGTCATTGCAATGTTATGATGAAGTCATATTTAAAGCCATTGTGATGTTATGATGAAGTCATGTTTGAGGTCATTGCGATGTTATGATGAAGTCATGTTTGAGGTCATTGCGATGTTATGATGAAGTCATATTTAAAATCATTGTGATGTTATGATGAAGTCATGTTTGAGGTCATTGCGATGTTATAATGAAGTCATGTTTGAGGTCATTGCGATGTTATGATGAAGTCATATTTAAAGTCATTGTGATGTTATGATGAAGTCATGTTTGAGGTCATTGCGATGTTATGATAAAGTCATGTTTGAAGTCATTGTGATGTTATTATGAAGTCATGTTTGAGGTCGTTGTGTTGTTATGATGAAGTCATGTTTGAGGTCATTGTGATGTTATGATGAAAGCATGTTTGAGGTCATTATGATGTTATGATGAAGTCATGTTTGAGGTCATTGCGATGTTATTATGAAGTCATGTTTGAAGTCATTGTGATGTTATGATGAAGTCATGTTTGAGGTCGTTGTGTTGTTATGATGAAGTCATGTTTGAGGTCATTGTGATGTTATGATGAAGTCATGTTTGAAGTCATTGTGATGTTATGATGAAATCATGTTTGAGGTCATTGCAATGTTATTATGAAGTCAGGTTTGAGGTCATTGTGATGTTATGATGAAGTCATGTTTGAGGTCATTGCGATGTTATTATGAAGTCATATTTAAAGTCATTGTGATGTTATGATGAAGTCAGGTTTGAGGTCATTGTGATGTTATGATGAAGTCAGGTTTGAGGTCATTGTGATGTTATGATGAAGTCATGTTTGAGGTCATTGTGATGTTATGATGAAGTCATGTTTGAGGTCATTGTGATGTTATGATGAAGTCATGTTTGAAGTCATTGTGATGTTATGATGAAATCATGTTTGAGGTCATTGTGATGTTATTATGAAGTCAGGTTTGAGGTCATTGTGATGTTATGATGAAGTCATGTTTGAGGTCATTGTGATGTTATGATGAAGTCATGTTTGAGGTCATTGTGATGTTATGATGAAGTCATGTTTGAGGTCATTGTGATGTTATGATGAAGTCATGTTTGAGGTCATTGCGATGTTATGATGAAGTCATGTTTGAGGTCATTGCGATGTTATGATGAAGTCATGTTTGAGGTCATTGCGATGTTATGATGAAGTCATGTTTGAGGTCCTTGTGATGTTATGATGAAGTCATGTTTGAGGTCATTGCGATGTTATTATGAAGTCATATTTAAAGTCATTGTGATGTTATGATGAAGTCATGTTTGAGGTCGTTGTGATGTTATGATAAAGTCATGTATAAGATCATTGTGTTGTTATGATGAAGTCATGTGTAAGATCATTGTGATGTTATGATGAAATCATTATGTGGTATTATGATGAAGTCGTGTTTGATGTCTTATGGTTTTTTGAGGAAGTCATTATGTTGATATTTTGATATTATTGTATTGGCATTACTGATGTCAGTATGTTGCCAGGATAATTTAATTGTTGATCTCATTGTAATTGCCATTTTGATGCTATGATTGATATGGTTGTTGATTACATTACTAGTGTAATTTTGATGAAATTTGTGACCACATTCTGTGTTTATGTCATTTGTTTTGTTGAATTGGTGTCATGATTGTTGTCTTGTTGACTTCAATTCTGTTGTTGTGCTGATGTCATCATTAAAGACATAGTTGATATAATAGTGATGTCACAGTACATGACAAGCTTGATGTCTTATTAACATTGTTGACCTCACTGGCAGTCTTATGTTGACCTCACTGGCAGTCTTATGTTGACCTCACTGGCAGTCTTATGTTGACCTCACTGGCAGTCTTATGTTGACCTCACTGGCAGTCTTATGTTGACGTTCTTTCACATCTGTGTGATGTTTTTTGTTCTGGATAATATTGATCACAGGAGCATTACCCTTCAGTATATTTCCGAGCAGACGTCAATGTTTTGTACTGTGACTGAGCCAAGAATAGCCTTGCTTTGTAAATCTGATTCATAATAAATGAATAATCAGTGAATCGATATGTGAAGGAACAAATTAATTAATGAATAAATGAATGAATTAATAGTGATTAGTGATTAGAATGGATTATCATCACAGCCCTCCGGACAGATCCAATGAGTTAATTAATTAATAAGAGAATGAATGAATGCTTTAGGAGCATTCCCTTGTATGTTCCGGTTAAAATGGACGCTAGGCAGGTGCACTGTTTAGAGCCGAGGCAAATTTTTTGCTTCTGTTGGATGGTGGCCGATACATTTTTGCTCCATTTTTAGACTGGATATAGTTTCGTCACCCAGCTTCTGAGTTGAATGCATCGCGTGACACTATGAGCAGGGGATTTCATTTGGAATGTTTTTTCGACTGTGACAAACGTGGTGGTGTGAATTGTAGATTAAAACATGGCGCGATGCCTGTTGTCGCAATGTTGGTGGTGCCTGTATGTGATTAAAATTGATCGCATGGGCAACTGCTGATCTGTTAGTGACTTCTGCGATTATCAATGATGAACAGCATTTCTGATGTCGGACTGTTTGTGTTAGCACTTTGGATGGCTACCTAATGCTTTAATGCGAGTGTATGCTAGATATGATGAGACAGCAGTCTGTCAATCTTTCCACAAGGGACTGTAATAAACATTCTGTGGGTTTTCCATAGGCACAGGAGCAGAGCAAAGATGGGGTGACCCGTATGCTATGAAGCTGAAACTAAGACCACCAGACCAGACCATGTTCTGTCCTTTTCCCAAGTAACCAACAAAAAACTCCTACATTAATGATGCTATATGCAGCCTGACTATTATGGGCTGGAGAGAATGATGCACCTGGGTGTGTCCAGAGGGTTCAGCCGGCTCACTATGCTCAGAGGAAAGGCAAGATGGACTTACAACCAGACTAAAACTGGTACCATTAGTATTGGAACTCTGCACTAGCTGCTGAGGATGGAGACAGAGCGCATATGGGAATGTCCTGAGTGCTGTGATGTCAATTCCTAACTCAACTCAACCGACTAAAAGTCTGCCTGTGACTTCTCATGTTCACTGAAAATTGACCAGACCCTCTGCTTAGTCCCAGCTGTATCAGTCTCTCCAAATATGGATGTTGTGTCTGTTCTGTTGCACTGTTCCCTTGATCCCACCGAACCTTCACCATGTCTGTTCTGTTGCACTGTTCCCTTGATCCCACCAAACCTTCACCATGTCTGTTCTGTTGCACTGTTTCCTTGATCCCACCGAACCTTCACCATGTCTGTTCTGTTGCACTGTTCCCTTGATCCCACCAAACCTTCACCATGTCTGTTCTGTTGCACTGTTCCCTTGATCCCACCGAACCTTCACCATGTCTGTTCTGTTGCACTGTTTCCCTTGATCCCACCGAACCTTCACCATGTCTGTTCTGTTGCACTGTGCCGTACTAGCGTCCATCCTTTGATCCCACCGAACCTTCACCATGTCTGTTCTGTTGCACTGTTCCCTTGATCCCACCAAACCTTCACCATGTCTGTTCTGTTGCACTGTTTCCTTGATCCCACCAAACCTTCACAGTGTCTGTTCTGTTGCACTGTTCCCTTGATCCCACCGAACCTTCACCATGTCTGTTCTGTTGCACTGTTTCCCTTGATCCCACCGTTGAAAACCTTCACCATGTCTGTTCTGTTGCACTGTTCCCTTGATTGCACTGTTCTGTTTGTTCCCCTTTACCATGTCTGTTCTGTTGCAAACCTTGATCCCACCAAACCTTCACCATGTCTGTTCTGTTGCACTGTTCCCTTGATCCCACCAAACCTTCACCATGTCTGTTCTGTTGCACTGTTTCCTTGATCCCACCAAACCTTCACCATGTCTGTTCTGTTGCACTGTTTCCTTGATCCCACCAAACCTTCACCATGTCTGTTCTGTTGCACTGTTCCCTTGATCCCACCAAACCTTCACCATGTCTGTTCTGTTGCACTGTTCCCTTGATCCCACCAAACCTTCACCATGTCTGTTCTGTTGCACTGTTCCTTTGATCCCACCGAACCTTCACCATGTCTGTTCTGTTGCACTGTTCCCTTGATCCCACCAAACCTTCACCATGTCTGTTCTGTTGCACTGTTCCCTTGATCCCACCGAACCTTCACCATGTCTGTTCTGTTGCACTGTTCCCTTGATCCCACCAAACTTTCACCATGTCTGTTCTGTTGCACTGTTTCCTTGATCCCACCAAACCTTCACCCTGTCTGTTCTGTTGCACTGTTTCCTTGATCCCACCAAACCTTCACCATGTCTGTTCTGTTGCACTGTTCCCTTGATCCCACCGAACCTTCACCATGTCTGTTCTGTTGCACTGTTCCCTTGATCCCACCAAACTTTCACCATGTCTGTTCTGTTGCACTGTTTCCTTGATCCCACGAAACTTTCACCATGTCTGTTCTGTTGCACTGTTTCCTTGATCCCACCAAACCTTCACCATGTCTGTTCTGTTGCACTGTTCCCTTGACCTTCACCATGTCTGTTCTGTACCTTCACCTTGATCCCACCGAACCTTCACCATGTCTGTTCTGTTGCACTGTTCCCTTGATCCCACCAAACTTTCACCATGTCTGTTCTGTTGCACTGTTTCCTTGATCCCACCAAACCTTCACCATGTCTGTTCTGTTGCACTGTTCCCTTGATCCCACCGAACCTTCACCATGTCTGTTCTGTTGCACTGTTCCCTTGATCCCACTGAACCTTCACCATGTCTGTTCTGTTGCACTGTTCCCTTGATCCCACCGAACCTTCACCATGTCTGTTCTGTTGCACTGTTCCCTTGATCCCACCGAACCTTCAAAGTGTCTGTTCTGTTGCACTGTTCCCTTGATCCCACCGAACCTTCACCATGTCTGTTCTGTTGCACTGTTCCCTTGATCCCACCGAACCTTCACCATGTCTGTTCTGTTGCACTGTTCCCTTGATCCCACCAAACCTTCACCATGTCTGTTCTGTTGCACTGTTCCCTTGATCCCACCAAACCTTGACAGTGTCTGTTCTGTTGCACTGTTTCCTTGATCCCACGGAACCTTCACCATGTCTGTTCTGTTGCACTGTTCCCTTGATCCCACCGAACCTTCACCATGTCTGTTCTGTTGCACTGTTCCCTTGATCCCACCAAACCTTCACCGTGTCTGTTCTGTTGCACTGTTCCCTTGATCCCACCGAACCTTGACAGTGTCTGTTCTGTTGCACTGTTTCCTTGATCCCACCAAACCTTCACCATGTCTATTGTGTTGCACTGTTTCCTTGATCCCACTGAACTTTCACCATGTCTGTTCTGTTGCACTGTTCCCTTGATCCCACCAAACTTTCACCATGTCTGTTCTGTTGCACTGTTCCCTTGATCCCACCAAACCTTCACCATGTCTGTTCTGTTGCACTGTTCCCTTGATCCCACCAAACCTTCACCATGTCTGTTCTGTTGCACTGTTCCCTTGATCCCACCGAACCTTCACCATGTCTGTTCTGTTGCACTGTTCCCTTGATCCCACCGAACCTTCACCATGTCTGTTCTGTTGCACTGTTTCCTTGATCCCACCGAACCTTCACCATGTCTGTTCTGTTGCACTGTTCCCTTGATCCCACCAAACCTTCACCATGTCTGTTCTGTTGCACTGTTTCCTTGATCCCACCAAACCTTCACCATGTCTGTTCTGTTGCACTGTTCCCTTGATCCCACCAAACCTTCACCATGTCTGTTCTGTTGCACTGTTCCCTTGATCCCACCAAACCTTCACCATGTCTGTTGTGTCATAAATTAGCCTGCAACCTTGAAAATTGATAGCAGCTAATCTCTCAGCCTGTTCATTACCCTACACACCAAAACATCATGGGCAGAAAATCATCACTCAAAAATGGTATATTTTCAAACCGTCCATAAGAACTTTATCAGTTTGAACTGATCATATGCCATGTAAGAGACTTTTTTCTGCTGAGTATGCCATTTGCTATAAGCTATTTTTTGTTTAAGAATTACATTCATAAATCTTCTTAGCATCGCTGTTTGATTAAAATAACTTCAGAAGAAAAAATCTGCACACAAAAAATGCATGTATCTTTAGAAAATGCAGAGGGGATAAAAAAATGATATTAAAATTTAAAAATGTAAATGTATGGAGGAGGATCAAATTATTTCTTTTGAAATACAATACAGTATTCACCCTCCTCTTCCCCTGTCATAGCCCCCCGCCCTTTCTCCCATAGATCCATACATTTTAATGTTTTGTGGAGAGCTATAAAGGTTGTATTTTCATTTTGCTGATTCAGGAGGTTTGTTAAGTCAAATTGTCATCTTTGTGGGAGAGTTGTTGAAGTTCATACTGTCATACTGTATTTGTGGGGGAGTTGATGAAGTTCATACTGTCATACTGTATTTGTGTGGGAGTTGATGAAGTTCATACTGTCATACTGTATTTGTGGGGGAGTTTATGAAGTTCATACTGTCACACCGTATTTGTGGTGGAGTTGATGAAGTTCATATTGTCATATTGCATTTGTGGGGAAGTTGATGAAGTTCATACTGTCATATTGCATTTGTGGGAAAGTTGATGAAGTTCATACTGTCATATTGCATTTGTGGGGAAGTTGATGAAGTTCATACTGTCATATTGTATTTGTGGGGGAGTTCATAAAGTTCATACTGTCATATTGTATTTTTGGGAGAGTTGAAAAAGTTCATACTGTCATTTTGTATTTGTGGGGAGTTGATGAAGTTTATACTGTCATACTGTATTTGATTCAGTTCATAGTCAAATTGTATTTGTGGGAGAGTGGTTGAAGTTCATACTGTCATATTGTATCTGCCAAGGAGTTGATGAAGTTCATACTGTCACACTGTATTTGTGAAGGAGTGATGAAGTTTATACTGTCTTTTGTCTTCATGAAGAGTTGTTGAAGTTCATACTGTCATATTTTTTTGGGTGAAGTTGAGGAGCTTCATACTGTCATATTGTATTTTTGGGGAGTTGATAAAATTCATCAGGACTTATTGTATTTGTGGAGAAATTGATGAAGTTTTTACTGTCTTTTTTTTTGTAGGAGAGTTGATAAAGTTGTCATGCGGGAGTTGTAGGCAGTTGAGGAAATTCACCATTGATAACTGGCATCATGAGAGCTAATGGACTGAAATGGTTGGGACATATTGAAAGAATGTCTGATGACAGAGAAGTAAAAACTGTATACACGAGGGAGATGAATGGTCATAGACCATGAGGCAGACCAAGAAGACGATTGAGAGATAATATCCAGACAGACCTGCAAACACCTGGTGTGACCAAATGGTTAGAGAGGGCCAACCAGAGAGATGAATGGAGGCGGGTGATACCTGCAGCAATAAACCACAAGGGCTCGGAATGCTGAAGAAGAAGAAAAAGAGTAAGGGACATATCAGTATAAATAATCCTAAAGCCAAAGATACATCACATAGCATGATTAGCTAATCTATTAAACAAGTGCAGTTAAAATAAATAAAACCTAAAAATCTGTTCTCCTATAATCTGTTACAATTAATAAAATAATAATAAATAATAAAAATAATAAGCAAGGAAAATACAATATTGAAACAGAAAAACACAACTATAAATATCCCAGTGAAAACCTAGGTCAGTTAATCATTGTTTAAATTACTGCTGCTCCTCATTATGGCTGTCCACAGCCTTCTGTCTCATGTTCCTCCCTGCCATAACATAACATAACATAACATAACACATAAGCCTTGACCTGTTAGGGTCATGGAGGTGTATTGATAGAAGCTCTAGCACATGAAACCCACCATCTTTCTCTCTCTTCCTCCAGATTAATAAATGTAGGAAAACTTAGTCCTGTCCATTTCTTGATGTTATCATTCTAGATACCTTCTTTGCACTCCTCTTCTTCGACAAACCTAACCCCCAAACTCCATGTTCCTTGAAGCACAGACTTTGCAATCGAATAATGTCTCACCCCGTGCTTAAACCAAGCTAGCTTGCAACGTTTTACCACTGCCAAGAGAGGCTTCTGGTGTCCCGCAGTGTGTATATTTTGTCTCTGACATATTTATTAGTTTTGTGTTCTAAAAAAACGAATTCCTAAAAATTGCCATGATACCTCCTTATAAAATATGGATTGTTTTGTTTTGTTGCTATCAACTATCTTTCTCCCTGAGTTAATTTCTTTCAGAACATCTTCATTGCCATTTTATCTACCCATAGGAATCTTATTGTTGTTCTGTCTGAGATTGGCCTTCTCTTTCCATTTGGGGATTGTAGGTCTGTATGTATGTATTTATGTGTGTGTGTGTGTGTGTATATATATATATATATATATATATATATATATATATATATATATATATATATATATATATATATATATATATGTGTGTGTGTGTGTGTGTGTGTGTGTGTGTGTATGTATGTATATTTATGGTATATCTACATTGTCATCTTGGGTTGTCGAGTGGCCTACACCCATTCAAATTTGTGTAAGCAGTTTTTGTCTCTCTATTATCATGCATTTTCTCTGTATGCCCTCACTATTGCTACCCATTAGCCCTCATGATACCAGCAGCAGTTATTGGTTGAAATAACCGTTGTCTTTGAAAATAATGTTGAGACATTTGTTGGAATGGTTTGCATACTCGAGAAACAGCACAAGTTATGTAGTTAAATATTTAGCACTTGATTGACCCCCCCCCCCCCACCCCACCCCAATGCAGATAATGAGAGAGGCTGGCCGATTGGATAAGAACATAAGGCTCTCATGTGAGAGACCAGGGTTCAAATCTTGAGTAAAGTTGTGGATTTTTTCTGTTTGGAGGCAAAAGAAAATTATAACCTACACTGTCAGTGGCATACCCATACTGTATTGAATAATTAGCACCTGATTGTTTGTGAATGTTCTCATCCATCACAGATTGTGAACATCATAAGCAACGACGGCCAGAGAATATGGGATGGGATCATCATGGGACCTTTCATCATTGGTGGCCCCATGATTCTCATCATGGGGTGTGTGTACAGTATTGTTTACCTAGGACCCTGGACACTAGTCAGTTTTTTGGTTTTAATTGGCTTTTATCCTTACGCTGTAAGTAACAGTCATTATCCTCATCATTATAATCATCACCAATCATAAAAGTAAAGAGAAGTAAAGATCCCTTTTCACACCTTTTAGCCCATCAGGCATATGGGAAGAGCACCCATATTTTTACAGACCAATCAGCACTAGGTGGGTAATGTGGTCAGCATTACACCGGTCATCTTTACCTCCCCAGGACATACATCCTGGTACCCATTTTAGGCTGGGTCGACCTGCGACGCCCCATACCATGATAAAAATCCACGCAACCAGCAGTGGGTTTTGATTGCGGTACAATGGAATTACAAGTTGGACTCGCAACACCTGAGCTAGAAATGCCCCATCACCATTCACCATCATCATCATTCACCATCATTCACCATCATCATCATTCACCATCATCATCATTCACCATCATCATCATTCACCATCATCACCATCATCATCATCAAATCATCACCATCATCTTCATCATCATCATAATGATGTCTGCTGCCAATAAATGTCGGTGATCATGTTTCACCATCTCCCACGATTATCAGAATCATGGATCGGGTCACTGCTCACTAGCCATGCAGATTGTGACCAGTACCATAAGTACTGGAATTCTGTGCTGGCTGCTGAAGATGAGGACAGAGCATGCATGGGAATGCCCCTAGTGCTGTGATGTCAATTCTTGACACAACTCATCTCAACCATCAAGCAAGATGTGCCAGTAAATAGCACCTTGTCTGGGAAACTGAAATATTACGTATGTAAACAACATCTTGTCTCACATATGAAATTAGGCATATCAGATGTCTCAGTGGCTTTGAAAGAACAGTAATGGAGGACATGGTACAAAGTAAGACAGAAAAAATGTCAGCAGACATAATAGACATCTTCGACAGAAAAGTGCATGAGGCAGGAGAGCTGGCCAGGACCGAGTTTCTTTCAGGCGGACTGTAATGTGGAACAACATTGTGTAAAGAAGTGGCAAAATGGTTGAGGATCAACATTCTGTAGAGAAGTGGCAAAATGGTTGAGGATCAACAACATTGTGTAAAGAAGTGGCAAAATGGATGAGGATCAACAACATTCTGCAGAGAAGTGGCAAAATGGTTGAGGATCAACAACATTGTCTAAAGAAGTGGCAAAATGGTTGAGGATCAACAACATTGTGTAAAGAAGTGGCAAAATGGATAAGGATCAACAACATTCTGTAGAGAAGTGGCAAAATGGTTGAGGATCAACAACATTCTGTAGAGAAGTGGCAAAATGGTTGAGGATCAACAACATTCTGTAGAGAAGTGGCAAAATGGTTGAGGATCAACAACATTGTGTAAAGAAGTGGCAAGGGTAGGTTTTTACTTGCTTGGGACAACAATGGTTGAGGATCAACAACATTGTGTAAAGAAGTGGCAAAATGGTTGAGAATCAACAACATTCTGTAGAGAAGTGGCAAAATGGTTGAGGATCAACAACATTGTGTAACTTTTTGGTGATGAGAACCTATAAAAACAAATTGATAATTAAAGATTGCTTTCTTTTTTTATGATTAGATGATGCTAGCAAAAAAGTCACAGGATTTTCGTACTCAGAGCATTAAAATCACAGACACAAGGGTAGGTTTTACTTGCTTCATGTGTTTCTTGTCTTTTCTTTTGTTGTTATTGTTGTTTTAAAAAAATACAGGTCTTTTTGAACATAATTTTTTTGGAGCCCCAAAAAAAAAAAAAACAAAAAACAAAAAAAAAAAAACAGTGATACAATCAGTTATCAGAAGATGATCCATTTCCTCCAGACAAGCGTATAATCTAAATAATACGGACACAAACAATACATTACACAATTTATGGCTTGGCATATTTCACTGTATCTCATCAGGTTCATTACTACAGAGTTAAACCAACGTATAATGAAGCGTAAAATGAATCCTTTTCTTGCTGAAATGCATAAACCACATTGTCGAGTTGCTTAACATCTATCTGCCGAAAATTGTTCCAGTGTGATCCAGGCTGTGTCAATAAAAATTTACTTTCCTATGTTATCTAAACAGAAAGATCACTCAAGTGAATCAGACTTGTAAAATTGATGCATACGCAACACTCAGGTTCTGGAGCAAGACTGCAGTTCAGAAGTGGACGAACAACCAGAACTTCCCGCCAGAGTGTTCAGCTGGTGAATGCGAAGAAGAAGAAGTTTGAAGTTACCTTGTTATTCACGTGACAGATTTTGAATTTCCATTATTTAAATTTACAATGGGATAACACTGTTTTGAAGAGTGTATTCTTCTATTTCTTATAGTTCACCCCTTAAAATGTTGATAACAATGTTTGTACACAACCTTCTGTCGTGTGTGTGGTCAGTAATTTCTGATACATATGTTTTTCCATGCCATACTGCTAAACTGCCCAGAATCCTCCGCTCTCTCTGTATCTCTCTCTTACTCATATGATTTTCTCGGTATGACAAAGTTTGGACCTACATCTATCAGCCAGATGCCATCTCAACAGTGTGGCCTCCACTGGATACTCAGTATGCTGTACCTCTCATCCTGGTTGTACATTCTCTGAGACTGCTGTTCTTTGTTCAACTGCTGATCTTTTGATCTTATCCTGCCACTTGTTATTGTCTCGGACCTTTTGCATACTTGGCTTCGGTTTGCATGTGCACCGTATAGCTAGCTTAAGTGTTCATAACATTTGACAGTTTTCATTTGTAATATGTTGTTTATCTCTTTAGGTGTTAAAATTATTTTATTGTAATCTCAAACATTCAAATTGGTAATCAAAAGCAGTGATAATTTTAAAGTTAATTTTTGCTTTACTTTCAGGTTGGATTAATGAATGAGCTTCTTACATACATTAAGCTAATCAAAATGTATGCGTGGGAAATATCATTTGCCAAAAAAATATCAGGTATGTCATTAGAAAAATAGATGCAGTGAAATGTCTGGAGGCAAATGTCAGAGATCAGCTTTTTGTATTTTTTGTTTTTTATAAAAGCAGAAGTTAAGTTAATGTCTGGATTGGATAAAACGAGCCTTTCATTTTACCTCAGGGGACAGAAATAGCTGTTGATTTTAATAGAAGAGATAGGACTGACTTTTTAAAACTAAAAAATATAAAATTAGCTGTTGATTTTACTAGAGGAGATAGGAAAGACTTTTTAAAACTAAAAAATATAAAATTAGCTGTTGATTTTACTAGAGGAGATAGGAAAGACTTTTTAAAACTAAAAAATATAAAATTTGCTGTTCATTTTACTAGGAAAGATTGCATTTGTTGTTAATTGTACATTGGAAAACCAACCCCAGCATTTTTTTTTACTGTTGTGTGCTTTCTAGGCAAATTTACATCCAGTAGTTTGCCATTGCTTCTCATTGGTCAGCTTCTCAATACCACTGTCAAAACCAGTGCAAGGCCAGCAGTTGGGATTGAACCCGGCACCCCAGCATTACAAAGTGCCTTCGCAATGCCTTAGCCACAGACGCCAACAATTGAACTAGAAGAGATACAATTTGCTGCTAGTTTTATTAGAAGAAATAGAATTTGCTGTTGATTTTACTAAAAGGAATGGGCTAGGAAATTGCACATTATTAAAGTTAACTCTTTGAATCACAGGGGGTTTAGCATCACAGGCCCAGGGGGTAGTAAAGGAAGTAATAAAATCGGCGCATCATGTGTTTATTGGGCTTCTAGGTAGGAACATATAAACGTATGATGCGTTCCTTGGGACTCAATGAGTTAAGTCTCAGTTGCAGGACATTAGGGTAATTTAAGGTTCGGTTGTAAATCCCATATTTCTATTTATTGAAAACAAATGAATAATTGGTTCACTAGAATCAGCATCCCACTCAGAGGAGGAGCTGCAATGTTTATCATCTGCATATGCTGGTGCATGTTGCGAATTTGGACTAACAGTCAGCATAAGAGAAGACACAGGTTATGGTGCCAGGTGTTAATGATAGACCTACAGTCTACATTGATGGCGAAGAGCTTGAGACATTGCCAGGACAAGATCACAAACACTGAGGTGTGGAAAGAGCAGGCATTCCAAAAGTCTTCTCAGTGCTTAGTCTGCGAAGGCTCAGGTGGCTGGGTCACACCTGGAGAATGGAGGATTGCAGAGTCCCTAAGGACATCGTTTATGGTGAATTAAAGACAGGTAGAAGATTGTGAGGCCGACCTCTACTACGATATAAAGAAGATGTAAGGAGAACATGAATAATACAGGTAATGAGGTGGACTTTTGGGAACAAAACTCCATAGACAAAAATAAAAATCCCAAGCTCTAATTACCCACTGACTACCAAATCCATTAGCCCTTGCACTTGTCCAGATGCCAGGTATTTTAGTGTATACTAAAAAAATACCATTAGTATAAGTATTCCTTTTAATTTCTCTTTACCTCTAATGTTAAATGTTGAATTTTTATAAAGAATCCACATCACATCACTCAGGACACTCCCATAAGCGCTGCATCCACATCTTTAGCAGCAAGCAGAAAGTTCTGATTCCACTGGCACCAGTAGCTGTTGACTGTACATCCGTCTTCGCCTTTCCCTTGAGTGTTGAGCATCAGCCAGATCCCCTGGTAACTCCCTGCAGCACCATTCTCCTCAGACCGTAATCATCTATTTGGCCTCTCAACTGTTCACCCGCTTCCAAAGAGCCCTCACAACATCTGACTTGTCTTACATCAGTTCACCACTTAGAGCAGACAACAACTAAAATACTGATTTTGACCTCCACAAATTCACTAGTGCTATGAAAGCTCCTCTTGCCTTCTGTATTTGTATTCTAATATCTCTTTCAGTTCCCCCTATCTTAATCTGCATTACTGCCCAGATAGGCGTACTACTTCACCTACTGGCGTGGGATACCATTAAGAGAAACCACATTACTATCTGCCCCATTTGTTTTCATTGTCTTTGTTTTTCCCTTATGGATTTTTAGACCTAGCTGATGTGATCTCCCATGAAGTATATTTAATTTATCTTGCATCTGATGTTCTGAATGGGACATACAACAAGTATCATCAGAGAAGTCCAGATCATCAAGTTGTTTTGTAGAAGTCAAAACTAATACTAAACTTAAAACTTGTAATTTTAATGTGAAATCAGTGCTGTTGTATGGAGCAGAAACGTGGAGAACAGCTAAGGCAATTACTAATAAAGTGCAAACATTCATTAACTTGTGCCTGCACAGTATAGAGGGTATTAAATGCTATTATATAATCGCTAATGTTGAGCTGACTGACTGAATGACTTTTTACCCAACCAGGACATCACACAAGCTATAAACACCCGCTGACACAAAGTGCCTCCTTGCAGATCACCTGTGGAGAGGTCCCAGAAACACCTTTCAGCCATTAGGCCATATCTATGGTGAGGCCATATCTATGCCCCAGCTATATTTAGGGTGGGCCAGAGTGGGGACGATGGATAATGTAGAGCTTTGGGAGAGAACTAGACAAGTTCTAGTCGACCAAGGGGTGACAAGAAGACACTTACATTGGATAGGACACATGTTGACCAAACCTGAGAACACTATAACTGGAATGTCTTTGCACTGGAACCCACAGGGATAAAGAAATAAAGGCAGACTCAAAATAACACATGGAGAAGAAAGTTAGAGAGTGAAGTCAAAAAAGATGGGGAGGACATGGGGAGAGCTGCTTGCAATAGCGAAGGGTAGAATGACTTGGCTGAGTTGATTGAGGGCCCATGCTCCATTGGGGGATAGAAGGCAAAAAAGGGAAAAAATACCATAGCTTCACAACTAATTAACATAAACTTCTAATGTTTTGTGTGGCATCCATGGCTTCAGTGTGGCGAGTCCGACTCGTAATTCCAACGTACCACGATTGAAACCCACTGCTGGCTGCGTGGATTTTTATCGTGCTATGCGGCGTAGCAGGTCCACCAAGCCTAAAATGGGTACCAGGATGTATGTAAGGAAATAAAGACCGCCCGCATAATGCTCACCAAATTACCCACCTTGTGCCAATGGTCTGTAAAAATATGGGTGTTCTTCCAATATACCCCATATGCCTACAGGCGTGACAATGGATCTTTCCTTTTTTTTTACGTAATGTTTTGTAATTTTGCACCAAACTGAATAGAGAACAAATTTCAAGAACAAAAAATGTGTAATCTTGTTTGACTTCAGCATCATGTGGCTGTTAATTGATTTTTTTAAAAAGACAACCACAAATATTTGTTTTTTCAAACAGCAATATTAAGCAAACATAAATTCAATAGCTTTTTGACTGTTTAACATAAAGCCATAATATTTGGAATTTTTGTTTACACCACATTAAATGGAGAACACAATTCAAGAATAAAAAATAGCATAATCTTGCTGTACATTACCATCATATGGCTTTACATTGGTGAGAAAAATGCAGCCGCCAAATCTTCTGACAGCAATGTAACTGATTTCATATTTTTTACTGAAATAATCTTGGATGAGCTCTGTCTAACTAAAATAAAATTCTGCAAATCCAGAACCTGTTTGATATTTTGCACCAGAAACTTTTGATAGAGTATGATTAAATTGTCAATCTAAAAAAGCCACAAAAATGATCTTTTCCCAGACTCTACATCACAGGAATCACACCGTGGTAAACTTTGAGGAGTGCATTGTGAAAGCACACACATCAAACGTTTTACTAAAACTAATGTAACATATCACACCTACCATTGACTGCCACGTCACTGCCGTAAGTGAAAGGTAGTCTTCAGCTTTCACAATGTTGTTGATGGCAGTTTATAAGAATTATCAAACTGTTTAGAGAGATCCTAACATTCACAAAGCATCAGAAATATTCCCCAAACTATCTCACAGTGTCGTTCTAATGACCAGCTGCCACTATCAAAACTTCCATTCCTGATTTTCCCCCTCCACACAACACAGTCCATGGCATTTTGTTCAAAAGAGTCCACATCAATACATGTATCATTCATGTCCCCCTTGCACACATCTTTATATCGTAGTAGATGTCAGCCTTGGCATCTACCCATCTTTAATTCACCATAGATGATGTCCTGAGCCTTTGTAGACTAAGCACTGAGAAGACTGTTGCCAGCTCTTTCCACACCTCAGTGTTTGCGATCTTGTCTTCTTAGGCATTGCATATGAAAGCTATTTAGCCATTTCTCTTGGTGCAAATAAGTTGACCAAGTTTCATTGCCATAAAGCAGAGTGCTGAGAACACAAGCCTGATAGACAAGGGTTTTTGTTTTAATCATAAGCTTTCTGTTCTCCCAAACTCTTTTTGGTAATCTACTCATTGTTGTTTGCTGCCTTACCTATCCTGATGTCAATTATCATTTATTGAAGCAAAGAACAGCAACCTTTAATTAATGTCACAGAGATGACTTAGGAAGGCTGGTATAAGACTGGCAACCATGTCTCATAGAAACATTTTGCAGCAGTTTTCAGCTAAACTGAACACGCCTATAAAGGATGGGTGAGTTGTTCGAGGGCCTATGCTCTACTTGAAAATAAAAAATCTGGACTGTGTGATCAGGCCAGGTTTTCTTTCCACAGGTGATGTATAATTTCAACATTCTTGTAATATGGTTGTTTATTTTTGGTTGTTTCAGAGCTGAGAGAGGAGGAGAAAAGAATACTAGAGAAGTGTGTGTTTGCACAGAGTGTCAGTATGGGTTCCTCTGTGATGGTTCCTATTGTTGCAAGTTGTGTCACTTTTACTGCATATGTGGCCACGGGGAATAACTTGACTGCAACTCAGGTGAGAGCTCTTCAGTGTAAGGTGGTTTGGTGTGACTAGCAAGACCTACCCACATTGAAAAAAGTCTTCCACAATTACAGCACCAAGATATAATTGATTGTAAGAGTATATTGTTTAATATATTAATACACAGATTACTGATGTCATCGGATTGATACTCTTTGTTTGCTGCTGAAGATGGGGGACGGAGCACTCATGGGAGTGTCCTGAGTGCTATATGTCGATTCCTAAAACAACATTGAACATTCAAGGTGGTTTGGTTTTTCCATGATGATGCTCATCACACAGATGGATAAATGAATGAATAGAGTTGATTAATAAATAGATAAGTGAATTAAAGAATAAGTCAATGGATAAAGAAAAGGTGAGTGAAATGGTAAAAAATTGATTTCATTGCATTTGTAGCGTCCCCTCAAGTGCCTTCTTCAGTAGTGATTGAAGATTTCCCATATGGATAGTCCACTGGTACACCTTTCCCAAAGGATCTACAACTGTTGTTTTATTAAACTGCTAATTACCAAACACACCTGCCTGTCCTGAGCAGAAAATTCATTATTTTAGCTTTGTTTGTGTTCACAGTTTTATCCTCATAGACATAACAATTGTATTTTGGTGCTGCCTGCCCCCCTCCCCACCTTTGTGTATGTGTGTGTGTATGTGTGCACACATGTGTGTATGTATGTGTTGGTGGGTCGGGTTTTTAGGGGATTTCATTTCAAAATATTTTATAGATTTTTAAGTGTCACAGGTAATTTATAGTATTAATTGGCTTTTACTTGTAAGTCCTAACCAATCACATTTTGTGTTCTATAACATCATTTGGTAAAAACTTTTAAAATAAATCTTGCTTCCTCAGTTGCCACTTCTGCCATTTAACCACTTTCAAAACCTTGTACACATAATTTTACATAGTAATTATTTCCCCTGTTAGGTAATTGAGATAACACTCTGGTACTTAATTAGTTAAATAATTACTAAATTAGTTAAACAATACATACAGTCCTTACTAAACACTTCAGATCATCCAATCTGTGAGCTCAGTGTCTTAACCCCTCAGCCACCTGATACTTTAAACTAAGCCCTATGTGCTTATCAGCAACCTGTCTATTCTTCAGGCATTCACCTTCGTCTCCCTGCTGAACACCATGCAGGCATCCATGATGACCATTCCCTTTGCCCTGAAAGCACTCTCTGAGATGGTGGTGACAACTCGACGTTTGCAGGTAAATAGTTTATCGCCAGTTTAGCTTTGACAAATTTATGTTAACAGAAAATGGTGTGTTTTAGTGTTTAAAGCAGGAGGATTGCTTTATTACATACATACACATACATACACACACGCACGGACACACACACACACACACACTTCCTCCACCTCTAGTGTGTTCTGAAGCACCATGTTTAGGAAAATTGTGGAGGAAAAAAGAATAGACCCACTGCCCCCACCCCCAACAAGCATGTCATACAAGGTGATTAACTAGAGATTTGTTGAAATATGATTAAGTCTTGAGCTGACATGTGCAGATATCACAGCCTAGCTGTAAACCACAATATAATATATCAACCTTTTTAAGAAAAATTCAAAAGAAGAACCTCATTGCATTAGTTTTATCCCATATAGCTTGTATTCTCAATATAGAATGGCTATTTGTTGCCCAACCTAGGCACATAAAGCATGAGCCTCTGTATTTCTAGTGACAACCTCAATGGGTCTCCAAAATGTCTGCAAACCAAAGAATGGAGTTTTAAATCAAACCCAGAACCTTCAGAACTTGAGGCAAATGGTTTCATCCATTTTGTCATGAAGATTCCCTAGATGAGAAAGTATAGAACACTAAAAGGACAACTATTACTATGTTGATTGTCTATATTAGTGATAAGTTTTAATACCAAGCAGCACCTCATCAATTATTTTGATGCTCTATAAATCACATACTTTTCTTTAATCATCACACTGCAAAAGTTGCCAACTTTTGTTATGGGTAATCTTTGGTTTGGGCAAATATGTGTTGCAGAGATAATGCTCTCTACATGCAGCAAAGAGATGCCAGGTTTGGCCAGTAAAGAGATGCCAGGTCTGGCCGGTAAAGAGATGCCAGGTCTGGCCAGTAAAGAGATGCCAGGTTTGGCCAATAAAGAGATGCCAGGTCTGGCTAGTAAAGAGATGCTAAGTCTGGCAGGTTGGCATTCCAATAGAAACCAAGCTGTATGAAACAGTGGAAGACATGCATCACACCACAGACTTCAGAGGTCTTTTGTCTTTTCATCTGCAAAACACTGGCAGGAAGAAAGAAAAGAAGAAGAAGAAAAAGACAGTGATAACTATCAAGGACAGTGGGGGTTTAGTAAAAACTGTCGCATTCTGGGCTTCAAATAGTTAGTTAGTCAGTCGACAGATTATTCTCATTGTACATCAAACCATTCAGTCCATAGGTGCTAGAAACTTCTCCTTAGTAAATCCCACAGCCTGTATCAGCTGACATACCAGTCCACAGCGGCTAGTCTTTATTGGCTTCCTGTGTAGTTAGTGCTTATGACTGGCTACACCCCTTTAACATGCTATTCTTGCAGTCTGGTAATTTTTATTTCAGATTCATAATCATTGCTTGGTTCTCACAGATGTCATACTTCTCATAGAGCATTCAGTATATCAGCCTGGTCCATGGTTGGGCAGCCACCGGGTAGCTTTACCTCCAAGCCTATCAGCATGCTCATTTCCTGGCCTGCCAGAAAAAGTCCTGCTGTACTCTGTTGGAAATTGTAACCATTCATCACCAGGTTCTATGACCCCAAGTAGACACACCTGATGAATAATGTCCTCAGCCTGACTCATCCACGATTGTCCTCATTTTAACCTGCTACCTTTTTGTCTTAATTTTATTATGCAGTGGGTGTCATGTGTCTTTGTTAACTCTGTGGTAGGCCCCCAATTAACTGTGTTTCAGTTAATTACTATCAAACAGTGAGTAAATAAAACAGCTAATTGTGAGCACAAGAGTTAATCAAGACTCCACCCTGTTAATGCCTGAAATTTAGATGCCAGGTCTGAGTTTTAACTGTCTTCAGCAATAACAACAAAAATCAGAATTACTAACAATATCTTCCTTTCACGTTTAGGAGTTTCTGGTTATGGAAGAAATGGGAAGCTATCCTAGGAAAATGTCAAACAGCTCTTCTGTGGTGGAGATAAGAAATGCTTCATTTTCTTGGGGAACTGGTCGCGTGAGGAAGGAGATGAGCAATGGTAATCCAGTTCTTTTCACTGTTTGTTTTTTATGTGTGCATGTGTCAGTGTATTCGCAAGTGTCGTTGTGCTTATAAGTCGCATAGATCTTCTTTGTTCTTCTTTTGTCCAACTTGTCCTATTGCATATGCAGCTGAGCATCGCAGAGAGGAAATATATGTCGTTTCCTATCTTTTGCTAGTTACATAGCTTATGTTAATATCATTTTTTCATTTTTGTATTGTCCCTCTCTCCACCAATCTCTTTTTTCTTGGTCGGCCTCTAGCCTTGTAGCCTGCTGTTTTCATGTAGTACACTCTGGCTGCTGGCTGATTTTTTTCCATTCTTAAAAGGTGACCAAACCATTTGATTCATTGATGATCTATGAAATTATTCACTGGAGCTGTGCCTACTATTATTCTTAGTTCTTTATTGGTGACTCTGTCACTTCTTGTTTTTCTGCTGTAAATCTGAACTCACATGTTGTAATTTTGTGTTAATGTTTTTCTAGGATTGTCCATGTCTGTGATTCATAGAACAAAGTTGGTACAAATAGCATATTTAGCAGCTGCTTTTTGTGTTTGTGCATGATGGTATTTTGATGTCTCAAAAGTGTTGCTACCTTGTTTCCCCTACACTGGGGCCCCTGTAACCCACACAAGGAATATAGAATACTAATCTTTGAAGTGTTTAAAAATGTAACCCACAGGAACAAATGGAAAAATCAAACACAAGAAAAAGAAGAAAAAAAGGGGAGTACCCGAGGAAGAGGAGACCTTGAGCGAGAATCATCTAACAGAGGGAAGTGAACAGATCTTTGTTGGGCCAACATTACGTAATGTGACATTGACCCTTCAACGAGTAAGTCAAAATTTTATTTTTCTGTGTAAAGAGCTCAGACATTTAGTGCTAGCACTATTTTATAAGACCAGTTATCATTCATTATGTGATCAACTTTTGCCAGCTGCCTTTACTTCCTAATAAATTTCCTGCTATCCAAATGGGGCGACTAGAAGTTTTAAACATAATATTTATTCTTCTTCTTCTCCTTCACTTCCTCTTTTACCGCTGTGGGTGTCGAGGAAGGCCAACCTCACGTCCTTGTCGTGAGAGGTGGTAACAGGACAAAGTAGGGGATTGCTAGGTGTGGGCGAAGTATGGTGTGGCCTCGTGCCACGGGACCGCTACGGTAGCCATGAAGGCCACCCTGGGTCACCCCGAAACGTCCTGGCCAACAGGGCTCTGGTGAAGTTGCGCAAGGCCTAGCAAGCCGGCAATGGATGTATTACCGCTACAGAAATCAAAATGAGATATAAACATAATATTTAAATACCATAATGTGTACTCATTTCAGCCAATTAATTTTTTTGTAAGTTTTATGTTTTGTTTCTTGTCATTGTTTTGCTAATCGCTGCAACTTCCTCTGTTTATTGTAAGTAGTTTTGTAAAGCTGACACATACTTTAAATTTTTTCCTACTTATGTACTTATAATTAATTATGTCTTTAATGTGCTCTGCTGTAACTGTAAATTTTTACTGTTTTCCTCATTGAAGAAGATACTGTTATTTTGTTATAATGTACTATTTTATCTCTTTGATTTCAGGGCCAATTAATTGGAGTTTGTGGAAATGTTGGCAGTGGCAAAAGCTCTCTGATCAGTGCAATTCTAGGCAGGGTAAGTCTTGCCGAAGTTGGCATATTTAACAGCTATTTTTGAAGAGCATTTAAGGTTAGAATTAAAATTTTATAAAACAGAGATTTTGATCAGCTCCATAAAAAAATGTATCACTTATGTAAATTAGGACATTCTTGAGTTACTACAAAAATAAAAACAAATTTATATTTAAAACATCATGCTGTACAGAAGTGTTTAATTGAGCAAGTAGTAAACAGTGACACAAGTGGGAGAAAAACATCAAGAGATGGATAAAATAGATGTCTGAGAGAATGTACAAGGACAAAAGTTAGAGCTGGATGGAGATCCACTGCAGAAAACTTTCATTATGGAGACAGCACCTCACTGATTGACTGAACAACAGTCCTGCTGGAGATACAGACAAATCTGTAGAGAAACGATCTTTGTGAACAGCTAGCAAACAATTCATTCATTGTGCTTCTGTGCTATTATGTGTCACATAGGGCTTGTAGTCTATTTCTCTACTTTATTCTATCCTGTCAATCACTTCAATATTGTGGATGGAATCCAGTCCAGCACCTTTGGCCTCTCTCATCGACGTTGTTTAAAGGTTTCTTTCAGACATCCTCGTTTCCTTAGTCCCTCTGTTTCCCATCTCAATGCCTGTTTGGTGATTCACTGTTCATCTCTTCTCATTATTTGTCCAATATAGCGCCCTCTTCTCTGTTTTATAACTGTTAGTACTAGTGGTTGCCCAGATAATTCTATAATTTCTTCATTCCTCTTGAAATCATCCCATTTTACCTCCATCATTTTCCTCAGATATTTGTTTTTGAACTTGTGTTCTATGTCTTTAGTAGCTCTCCAACTTTTCCTGGCATATGTTAAAACTGGTAAAACTGTTAAAACTGTTAAAACTGTTAAAACTGTTAAAACCATCAGAATTGGAATTCTTCGCTTGCTGCTGAAGATGGGGGGACTGAGCACTTATGGGAGTGTCTCGAGTGCTGTGATGTCAATTCTTAATTCAACATTCAACACTAAAATAACATTAGAATTGACAGCAGTAGAATAAAACAAGATCAGTAAACAACAGAAGCACAAAAAGACAGTTACTGAACATGATTCTGATCATCTTCCACCTCCGCTGTAAAGTGCCGTGAGGAGAAATGATCATTGGTCCAGCACTTGATGTGTGGGTCTGGTTCTGATGACTGTCATACTCTGTGAATCTGCTGTGTCTTTAATGTTGTCAATCTATCACCTTCCTGTGTGCCTCCCATGCTTAACTATTAAACTTCTAAAATAAAGATGTTTATCTTAAAATGTTCATAGTATGAAACCAGACATTTTATTACTAGGGAAAAAACTTGAGAGTAAGAAGGGGAAAGAATGGATTTCCTTGAGAAAAACTTTTTCTTCACACAAATATACAAATACAAGAGTTACAAGCTGATATGAGAAGAGCTTCTAAGACAATGAGACTGTGGCAGTCATCATCATCATGTAGCAGGTCCTTTGCAGAACGTCGCTCTCATCACAGTCTGCCTGAAAGAAACTCGGTCTCCCGCCAGTTCTCCCGCCTCATGCATTTTCACATTCAAGGAGTCACTTATATCCTGTGCCCATCTTCGTGTCGGTCGGCCCCTGCCCCTCCTTCCTGGTACCATGCCTTCTGCTATAATTGTTTCTAATCCGTCGTGGCGCTTGATATGACCAAAATATTTCAGCTTTCGAGAAAGGATGCTGTTTATTAGCCAATCTTTCCTGATGTTCAGATCTTTTAAGATGTCAATATTTCTCATCTTCTTTGTCCAAGATATTCTGAGAATCTTTCTATAACATTTCAGCTCTAAAGCCCCTATTTGTGGCAGTACATGATTAAAATAATCATTAATCACAAACATTCATGAAGTGGTATCTGCACAGATTAGTGGATCTTAAACTGTATGACAGAAAAGGTAAAGAGGAGTTTTGGGGAAGAACCAAACAAAGTCAAGTGAGAAGACACTGGTGTTTGGTAGGACCTGATAACAAAACCTGAATATCTTTGTGCTGGAACCCACAGGGTAAAAGGAAGAAAGGAAAACTAAAAATACACAGAGGAGGGAACTAGAGAGTGTTAAAATGTTTGAGACACTGAGTGAGCTGCATATGATAGCAAAGGACAGGATTATTTGATGTAAGTTGGTCGAGGACGCATGCACCACTGGAGGATAAGGGGGTTGGGGGGGGGTGGGGGGGGGGGGTGCAGGGATTAGAGGACTTCAACAACAATTTTCAGATTATTTCATCTAATCATTTACTGGCTATACAGAGTTTTCTTTACTTACGACTGGGTTCCCTTCTGACCAAGAAGTCGTAAGTCAAACTGGTCATAAGTCAGATTTATATTTTCAACACTTTTCATTCAAATGGGTTTAAAAAAAACTTTACATAAAATATATAAATGCAAACTATGCAAACTATAATTATTGTACGTAATATGAATATATACATACTATCCGAGTAGCTTTTTTGACCCCACTAGTGTAGTTATCTTACTATAACTACTATCTTGTTTTGTTTTTGTTTACATGTTGTGGTTGTAAGTGTGATGGTCGTAGGGTGCAGAAAAGGTTTACTTGCTATTTACCCATGACTTTACATTCATTCACTAAAGTGGCCTGTTTTCTGGTTTTCAGATGGATGTTGTGTCAGGAACAGTAGCTGTGTCTGGTCATGTAGCCTATGTACCCCAGCAGGCTTGGGTTACTAACGATACTCTTCAGGATAACATCCTGTTTGGCAGCAGTTATGAAGCAGATAGGTACATTCTCTGTTATAGCTCTCTTTATAATAAGTATGGAGGTGGAGGCAGCCACTGCAGCTTTCTGCTAGCTTGAGAACCAGCTGTATGCACAAACTCACAAAAGTCACCTGAAAAGGGACAGAGACAGAGGTCTCAGTTAGCATCCTTTGGATATTTTGTTTCAGGATATGCAGGTTAATTGGGAAATAAACAGGCAGACAGAATGGCTTGTTCTGCGCCATTTAATAGTGGCTCGATGCACAGTGATCCTCATCCACATGGTGGCACTTTGTGTCATCGGGTGTTTATCGCTTGTGTGATGTCCTAGTGGGGTAAAAATCTACTACTACTACTGTGATATTGACTCTGAATTGAACCCAACTTAACCTTATGATATGTCAGTTGCACTAAACACAACTTTATAATGGACTTCTGGCCAAAATGGTGGAAAGACTTTGCAGAATATTGAGCTTTGTAGTTATCTGTGCTTCCAGCAGTGCTTTGCTAATGCAGTTTCCACATAAGGATGGTAGTCTACGGTTTCACTGCCTGAGCTATTGAGTTTAGTGCTTGGTTGCAGCCCTGTGAGCTGTGTTTTTCCTGTGGAATACCTTTCATTTGTTCAGCCGTTGTGTTGTGGTACTCAATATGGCCGGTAGCTGGTTTACGTGTGAGCTGGTGAAATACCTTATGTAATAATTATACGTGTGTACAGGAACCTGCTTATCATGTCCGACTACTTCCATCAATGACAAACTGCATTTCTGGTAACGATTGTTGGCTTTTCTGACACCAAAATACATATTTTTTCCATGTGTGTGCTAGAAATAGTTCTGGATGAGAGCGCTGCCTGACTGTAAGATACAATTTTGCAAATTCAGTGGCTCATTATGGCATTTAATATTGCTAATATATTTCAGTTTTGTGAGCTTTGTATCATCTGCATATCCAGGTTTTGAAACTAGGTTGTTTTCATTTATAAATAAGTAATATAAAGAAGAGAAGAAATACTGTCATTCTTAAAGATCTAAACAAAAGTGAGATTGGTTAATAAACAGCATCTTGTCTGGAAAGCTGAAATATTTTGGCCATGGAGGATTGGAAAAAATAAAAGCAGAAGACAACGTATCAGGAAGGAGGGACCTGAAATAAGTTGTCTATATAAGCAAATTTGTCTCTTGTATAAATTTCACTGTCTTTATTGGTTCATTCAGTGGTCCATAGAGTTTCACTGTTCCACTGTTGTTTTTTCCGTCTAAAAGGTTTGCTTTAATGTGTCAGATTTGGTGCAGTCCTGGAGTACATGCTCTGCTGTCTGGGGCACTTTTCCACAGATGCACATGGCTGATAACGCCTATCTTCAATTTTGTGTACATGTGGTTACATAATCGGTTGTGCCCTGTTCTGAGGCGGATGATAATGGCTTTTTCTGATCTGTCCATTTAAAAAAAAAAGAAGCTCAGAGTGCTACACCAAGCACATAACTCAGTAATTCAACCCTTGAATTCCGTCCATATGTGGAAACTGCATCAGCAAAGCAATGCCTGGAGGGTGCGCACACACACAACAACAGCCTGAAACTAAACATTCTGCAAAGCCTTCTCCATATAAGGCTGGAAGAGTGTCTGCACATGAGCTGATACATCTTGTTGGAGATGGCATGTTATGTAAAGGCATGATCTCAAGCACACATCAGTAAAGACTTTGATGATGACTATGGTAGTCATTGTTCACAAACAGAACTTATAAAACCACTTTATGTAACCACGTTTTTCCTCCTTCTAATTTATTTTTATTGTCCTTCATTTCAGATATAAACAAATAGTTGAAGCATGTGCATTAAGTGCTGACTTTTCTACCTTCCCAGCAGGAGATGCCACCGAGGCAAGATAACTAATCATTTTTTTTACTTTTTTTAGAAGGAATAAGGGTAGCAGCAATTTAATCAAAGAAATACTGTTAAAACCTTCAGGGTTTTAATTTTCTAATACTGATTATTTATGTGCATCAATTATAGTTATTTAACAGTACTTAAATTATGTGTTAATTATAGGGCTGTACCGAATATTCACTTCGTATTTGCTTCGGGGCCGAATAGTGGACCTATTGACTATTCAATATTTGGCCGAATAGCTGCAGTCGGGCCGAATACGAATAGTAGTTACCTCACACCCACCTCTGCATTCACGGTCTTAATACTGACAACATGGAACGATTGATTTTGTTGAAAGCTAATGCAGCTTTCATGCATTAACTAAGCTGTCAGTGACAATTTACAAGTTTAGTTACTTGTTATAATACTTAGGATTCTTTCATTGCTAGTTATTAGTTACCACAGACTGACTGAAGGATGCAAAACATAACATGTTTTTAAATGTTTACTATTCTGTACGAATACTAACTAGACATGGAAAGAATATAAACTCTGGCCACATCCAAGTCGATAATATGAAAATCAAATGACCAGAAACATATAAGTAGTTAGGTGCAAACTTCAACTGCTCCAACATGCTGAGAGAAGAAATACAATCGAGAATACAATCTAGAAATAAAGTATACTATGCTCTTCAACATCTGCTAAAGTCAAAGTGTCTGTCCTGCAACACCAAGATCAAAATATATAAAACGTTGATAAGACCAGTCGTTTTATATGGCTCTGAAACTTGAAGCAGAAATGAAAATGATGAAGCCTCATTACAGGTTTTCAAAAACAGTCTTACAGCGGGGATGGAGAGTGAGAAGCAACAACATAACACATAATCTGTTTAAATCACCATTGATCACTGGCATCATGAGAGCTAACAGACTAAAATGGTTGGGGCATATTGATAGAATGTCAGAAGACAGAGAAGTAAAACTGTATACACCTGAGAGATAAAAAAAAAGATCGAGAGATAATGTCCAGCCAGACCTGCAAACAACTGGTGTCACAAATTGCGAAGAGAAGGCCAGCCAGAGAGATGAATGGAGACGAGTGATATCTGCAGCAGTAAACCCCAAGGGCTCAGAATGCTAAAGAAGAAGATGACTATTCTGTGCTACTTTATGTGAAATAAAAATTCAGCGTACATTTGACATTATGAATGTGTGTGTGTGTGTATTTTTTTAAGATATATTTCATACACTATACACTATTCGTATTCGTATTCGGCCGAATAGTATAAATCACTATTCGGTACAGCCCTAGTTAATTATAATAGATTATAGATTATTAATGTTAAGAGTAATATATTTTAAGTGCTGTTTTTTTAATCCAGTTCTGTTCAGTAGCTGAAGAATGGGGGTATTGTTTATCTCCTTGATCAGTAAATTCTAAGAATTTTTTAGGATCACTTCAGTTAAAAAGCTCTAATTTTCTTTGCGTTTGCAAAATATTCCACATTCTGCATGTAAGTTGTTTTCAAAATCTCATGCATTCATTAATCACTGGTAAAATTATACATTTCTTAACTCATTATGTCCCCACCAAATATTATGATAACTCATCCTTAGTTGCAATGTTAAAACTTTCTAGCCCTAGACACTCAGTCCCACTTTTGACTTAAACTCTGGTTGCAAACATTAATTTAATTTCTTTTTCTTTTAATCCTTGCCATGTGGCATTGGTAGTCATGTCTGTCCACAACCTTCTGTCTTGTGTACTTTCAGTCACTTCTCACACAAATGATCTTCCATGATGTCAAACTGTCTAACATCTCCTCTGTCTGTCTAACATCTCCTCTGTCTGTCTAACATCTCCTCTGTCTGTCTAACATCTCCTCTGTCTAACATCTCCTCTGTCTGTCTAACATCTCCTCTGTCTGTCTAACATCTCCTCTGTCTGTCTAACATCTCCTCTGTCTGTCTAACATCTCCACTGTCTGTCTAACATCTCCTCTGTCTGTCTAACATCTCCTCTGTCTGTCTAACATCTCCTCTGTCTGTCTAACATCTCCTCTGTCTGTCTAACTCTGCCTCTGTCTGTCTAACTCTGCCTCTTTTCCCCTCATCATGTTGTACTCCAGTTGTCCCCTTCTCATGACATGACCAAACAATGTGGATTGTCAGCTTCTGATGTGGGCAGTCTTTCTGATGTCAGTCTTGTGTTTTCTTGCTTCAATTTCTCTGTTCAATCCTTCATCCTCTAAGGAATACACTTCCTACCTACTTAAACTCCTAAGTTAGTTTTAATGTGGCTCCTTCAACAGTGATGACATGTTTAACTGGTGTTCTGTTTATTGATCTTCACTTTGTACTTGTTATGCCAGGTGGGAGAAAGGGGAGCTAACCTCAGTGGAGGTCAGAAGCAGAGAATATCGCTGGCCCGGGCTGCCTACAGCAAGAATGAACTGGTGTTGTTGGATGATCCCCTCTCGGCAGTCGATGTGCATGTTGGACACCACATCTACCAACGATGTATTAAAGGCGTGTTAAAGGGACGAAGTGTTGTATTTGTGACACATAACCTACAGGTTAGTGTGGTCATCTAACAAGTTACATATATAACTCCTGTTTTATTAATTTTTTTTTTTGCTCTTTAATTTCTTTTATTCATTCCATAAGTTTTCATCTCCTTTTTTCATAGTTATTCACGTGACCCCTCTGTGTGGGCACTGGTGGCCAGAATATGTTGCCTTTTGTTTTATTCTTTAACCCCACCAGGACATCCACCAAGCTATAAACACCCGGTGAAACAAAATGCCACCATGTGGATGATAATCAACCGGGAAGTGGTCCCAGAAACCCTGTTCATCCATTAGGCTATATTAGCACCCACGACTACAGCTGAGTTTAGGGCTTTTAAATCATGACAAATTGCATCCCGTATCGAGAAGAGTATTTGCCTGCTCTTTGTTGCTGTTATTGTGGTTTATGTTAAGAAAGGCTCTGGCTAAAAATGTCTTTTTGTTTTATATGTGTACATTTTCCTAGCCAATTTCAATAAGCTTCTTAATCACAGTTCAGTGGATTAATTTCTAGGTAAGTATAGTGTAAGCGAGAGATCCTTTTTCACACATTGAGATAGATGTACTGGGTAAATGATGTTACCCAATGTAATGTGTCTCTTCTGTACTCAGTCTCCCTCATACAGATTTCACACTAGCTCCGTTGTCTAAGGGTCAAACCTATCTTTCGATTAACTATCACACGTCTCCAAATGACAGTCGATAAAGTTTGACAGTAGTTCACAAGTTTCTTATCAATACAACACCAGCAATAAGAATCAACATTAAAGCCGAACACTTACACCATTCATTCAAGTTCCCTTTTTCTCACTCTCCAAGCCCACAGACACGCTTCAGACGATGGACACTGGCACAACCAACAGGCCATAGAACACTACTGTTGTCCTCAACTGTAATTCAACACAGCTTCACCCCTTACTGTACAGGACTAGCATTCATTTGGGTTCCATCCAGATCCATGTTCATACCTATCACTCTGGATACATGTTCATACCTATCACTCAGCACCCAGTTTCACTCCTTTCATTCTGGGGTCTGGTCACCATTTATTTTTACCCCAGTTGCCTCGGGTTGCCCAGTAAAACCTTGCAACCTGGGGACTTCCCTAATTCCACTAACCAATCAAACTCCTTATTCTATACCTATATTTAGCACCATTACACCCAATACATTTTAAATCATTTGATATTCAGGGGTTAAGTGGTCACTATAAAGCTGGCTGCCTTTACTTCACAGAATATTTTCATTTAAGATTGAATCTGTTTGGGAGATTATTAATTAAAAAAAAAAAAAAACTTCATTTGGGGCTTGAACACAAGAATGCCAGATTAGTAAGCTAGCGTTCTTTGTTCCTTTCATTTATTACATCTTTCAGAAAAATGTGTTAAATTGTGCAATAGGAATGTGTGAGAATCATAGCCTTGATTAAATGGCTAGTGTAACTAGCAAGACCCACTTATATTAGGAAAAATGCTCTACAATGACATCAGTGAATGTTAGAACCCCATTGCATGTATTTAATTGCTTCTTATTCCTTATATATCATAGCTTAAGGCATTCTGTTCCCAGGTGTCCACCCCAAAACATGTATCATTCGTGTCCCACTTGCATACATCTTTATAAACATTCACAAAAAGAAATACAGCAGAAAACCTTGACTCTCGATATATATTTGAAGAGATGTATCTCACACCACTAGGACCCAAGTTTTCACTGATGGCTCTGCTGCAGATGTAGTAAAAAATGGAATTTATGGAATATACATCAAGCACTCCAGCAACAGAGCAGAAAAACACTTTATCCTGGAGGTGACACCTCTACAGGAGGCTACTGTCCTTCTTTTTGCAGTCCAGCATCTCATCACTTAATACAGGGAGTTCATTTTAAAAATACTCAGTGGTTAACCATATGTTCTCCGAGACCTATCAAGTAGAAAAACTAAACGCAGATCTGAGGATCAACATCTCTGTCTGATTTCCAAGGAAATTGATCCTGTGGGGTGGATCTTAAGTTTTAGTTTGATTTATGAATCAGCTGGGCACTGAGTTGGAATCTGTAGTTAGTGACACACCTGAAACCATAGGGACCTCCATGGTAAAGGCATTCATTCACGTGCCTTGTGGTCTAACGATCATGGACTTATTCACAGATGCATCGTTCAGTTCATGAGTGCAGTTTGTATTGAAATTCCTTAGTATCATTGCTGGAGCTACAGAGTTCATGCTTTGTGCCGCACTCTTGTCACGTAAAATAATTAACATTTAAAATGTGATAAGATTAGAACTATTTAGATGATGGTATGTTGGATATTGATACCTCTTGGACTAAGAACGCCAAGGCTGTGGATAAGGCGATTTTCAAAGAGTTCCAATATAGTAGTCATCAAAGAGTTCCAATATAGTAGTCATCAAAGAGTTCCAATATAGTAGTCATCAAAGAGTTCCAATATAGTAGTCATCAGAGAGTTCCAATATAGTAGTCATCAAAGAGTTCCAATATAGTAGTCATCAAAGAGTTCCAATATAGTAGTCATCAAAGAGTTCCAATATAGTAGTCATCAAAGAGTTCCAATATAGTAGTCATCAAAGAGTTCCAATATAGTAGTCATCAAAGAGTTCCAATATAGTAGTCATCAAAGAGTTCCAATATAGTAGTCATCAAAGAGTTCCAATATAGTAGTCATCAAAGAGTTCCAATATAGTAGTCATCAAAGAGTTCCAATATAGTAGTCATCAAAGAGTTCCAATATAGTAGTCATCAAAGAGTTCCAATATAGTAGTCATCAAAGAGTTCCAATATAGTAGTCATCAAAGAGTTCCAATATAGTAGTCATCAAAGAGTTCCAATATAGTAGTCATCAAAGAGTTCCAATATAGTAGTCATCAAAGAGTTCCAATATAGTAGTCATCAAAGAGTTCCAATATAGTAGTCATCAAAGAGTTCCAATATAGTAGTCATCAAAGAGTTCCAATATAGTAGTCATCAAAGAGTTCCAATATAGTAGTCATCAAAGAGTTCCAATATAGTAGTCATCAAAGAGTTCCAATATAGTAGTCATCAAAGAATTCCAATATAGTAGTCATCAAAGAGTTCCAATACTGATGGTACTAGTTACCTGACTGATTAAAAGTCTGCATCTCTTCCACTGCTCACTGAAGACCATCTACATGCTAAACTCACTTCCCCACTGAAACAGTCTCTTGATGAATGGATGCTCTGCTTATTTTGTACACTGTTCACTTGATCCCAGAGTGTCCTCACCACTTTCTTCTAACCATAAAGTAGCTCACTATCCAAAGGAGAAGCAGCAGCCAAGTCTTATCAGCCTGCTCACTTTCCCTCACTCCAGAATATCCTGAGCTGCTTATGGTATTTTTTTTTCGTTATCCATCTCTTTAAGCTTTCCAAATCTTTTTCTACATCTCCCTCTCTTATCTTGTCTTTTCAAACACAAATAAAATATCATTTGTTGTCTGTTGCAGGTTGACCTTTTTAGCAAATCTCACATCCTTTATTTCAGTGAGCAGATTTTCTTAAAATTTATTTATTTTTCTTAATTAGAAGTGGACTTGGACTGAAATCAGTAATTAATTTCAGTAAAGAGCAACAGATAAGATGGTTTAAGCATCTGATGAGAATACCCTGGTACCAACGGCCACAGAGAGCCACACTGAAGAAATGTAATGAACACAGAGCCAATAAGGTAACTTTAGGAAGAGAAGAAGAAGCAGAAGAAGTGAAAGCAAAAGACAGAAATGGCAATGTCAGCTTTGTTTTTGTTTTAGCTTTTCAATTAATAACTTTGCATTGATTATTTTGTGATGTGCTGAATGTTTAACTGAATTTGTGGTGGTTTTATTTTTTTTTCTGGCAGTATTTAAAAGACTGTGATAACATACTGGTCATGAAAGATGGCCAGATAGCAGAGCAAGGATCACATGATCAACTTCTATCCAGTGGTGGAGAATATGCAAATTTACTCAGGTTGTATAATAATGAGGATGAGCAGAGCATAGGGATAGCGCCAGAGCAAGAGGAGCGCTTGGAGGTGACACGAATATCAGGTAAGAATATACAGTGAAAAATAAGATTGTTATATATCAGGATATCTTTGAAGGTTCTTAGGCTTCAATTTGGAAAAGGAAAGGGGGAGGGAGGGGGGGAGGGGGGAATGAATAGACCTGCTGCCCTGTAACACAGTTGTTATATATCAGGTTACCCTTGTGGATTTGTAGGTCTCAATTGGGGGGGGGGGGGGGTGGGGGGGGGGTGGGGGGAGATGGATAGACCGGCTGCCCTGAAACACAGTTGTTATAAAAGACAACTAATTAGGAGTTAACTCAAACTGGATGTGTTTGTGCTGAAAGAGTCTAGCTCTAAATCACAGTAGGCTGTGCCAACAAACAAACAAAGAATCCACCCAATGGTCCCCTAACAAGCGTAATATAAAAGTCAAGAAGATAAATAAGCGTTTAATAGTCATAGATTCATTTTCAGACTGCGTCGTACAGTTCACAGTTGTAATTTGTTTTCTCCCAAGATCTTTAGAATTTTGTCACTGGAACTCAAGTGTTTGTATTCTGTGTGACACTCATAGCAGGTAGAGACTGAGCCATGGAGGATAATATCTGATGCCTTTAACAAAAAATAACTTTACTAAAAACAAATGCATGTTTAAGGCTAAATATATAGGGGGAGTGGCCACACAGATGTCAGATTTCTTTTCAACATTGTGTAAAAGTTAAGATTCAAAGGATATAAATAATCTCTCTCTCTCTTTCTCATTCACATACACATGCACACATGCATGCATGCACACACATACTCACAAACATTCACACACATCTTTGAATCTCCCTTACATTTTACATTTAGACACATCATATACATGTATCATCATCATAATCATGTAGCAGGTCCTTTGCAGAACGTTGCTCTCATCATGGTCTGCAGGAAATAGTCTCTCACCAGCTCTCCCCTCTCGTGTACTTTCATACTCAAGGAGTCACTTATATCCCATGCCCATCTACGTGTTAGTCGGCCCCTTCCCCTCCATCGTGGCACCATACCTTCCGCTATTATTTTTTCAAATCCTACATAACGCTTGACATGGCCAAAGTATTTCAACTTCTGAAACAAGAGGCTGTTTATTAGCCAATCTTCCTTGATGTTCAGATCTTTTAAAATGTCAGTATTTCTTCTCTTCTTTGCCCATGGTATTCAGAGATCTTTCTATAGCATTTCAGCTCAAAAGTCCCTATTTTCTTTCTTTACAACTGGACATAAATCATAGGTGTGATATATCCCAGCCATAGCCCAGACGGGTTGAAAAAGATTGAAAAAGTAAAAAAAAAAGGTAAAGTTGGAAGATGTGAACCAGCGTCATTGCACACGGTTATAAACCATAAGTACTCTGCCACAAGTACGGACAGCTGATAAGAATTGTCCACCTGTGTCGCTATTCGCAGGTAACTCTGTAGCTACAGCGAGGTTCCTCAATTTACCCCAGAATATCACGCTGGTACCCATTTCCTAGAGGCTGGGTGAACCCTGAGACCCACCCGGTTTCGTGTGGCAGCTGGATTTGAAAGCGAGCTTCTTATCGACTGCGCTAACGTGGCCCCCTGAAAGAAAAAAAGATATTGAGGCTCAAGTTACTACTACTACTTCCCCGTGTGGGTTCCAGGGCCCTGATATAGGGGGAAAAAGAATAGACCCACTGCCTACCCAAAAGCATGTCATACCGAGTCAACTCATTGGGAGCTTCCTTTGAAGTCAGAGTGCATCTCCCTGAGAGGCAAGGAACCAGCAGTCTGCATACAAATGAGTCAGATCTGTAAAAAGGATGCACATGCAACAATCAGGTTCTGGAACAGGACTATAGTCCAAAACTGGATGAACAACCAGAACTTTCCACCAGAGTGTACAGCTGGTGAACGTGAAGAAGAAGACGAAGACTACTACTACTACTACCACCTCCACCAGTATCTCATCATGTTTTGCTCAGGCTCAAAGAGTTGATTTTGACTTCAGGGACAGATAACAAACATTGCTTTCTCCTCAATCCACAGAGATTATCTCAGATGAGGACATCAGTAAATCGAGCCATGGTGAACAAATTCATTTCAATCAAAACTTGAACTTAATATCAAAGGAAGCAACAGCAGACAATGAGAGTAATGTCAGTGGTGAGTGTTGAGTTTGTTTCAGGCATTTAGATTTAGATAATAGTATAACCACAGTGTGTGGCGGTTTGAAGCGCTGGAGTAATCATGCTTTTTCTTTAAAATACACCATAAATCTTGAGCAATGGTGCTTGAACAACGGATGATCAACAGCATTTTCATCCCTACGTTATGTTATCAGTGCCAAACGTGGACAATGAACAAATCACATATGCAAAAAATAACTACGTGTGAAATGCGATGTCTCCGAAGAGTCACCAACAATACACGAAGAGACAGAGTCACAAACGTCAGCATTAGAGACAAAGTTGGAACAAGAGCATGCATGGAACATATTGAAAGACAGAGAATGAAGTGGTTTGGCCATTTAGTAAGAATGCAACCGGATCAGATTGCCTATAAGGCCTTTTACAGTAGAACATCGGGAAGAAAGACCAGAGGAAGACCCAGGAAAAAATGGATAGATGGAGTAGCTGAATACGGCCAGAAGATCTGGAAAGCTGTCACATAGATCACGCGAGAGGCACAAAACAAATATTTTAAACCACGACACTGGGCTGCAACCCAGTAAAAGTAAAGAAGACAATAGATAGATAGATAACCACAGTGTACTTTCACTGAGCACAGGGTGAAAGGAAGACAGGCAGAGTAATATATACATGGAAACAAGAATTAGAGACAGATTATACAGATGGGAAGGAGATTTGCTGGGCAGAAATGATTACCAACACTATACAACATTGACTATAAGAAAAGAAGAATGAGACCGATAACTGGGCAAAAATGATTACCAACACTATACAACATTCTTCTTCTTCTGCCTTCGAAATCAGTCATGCTAAACATTGAGTCCCGTCTGGGTCACAAATAGGATTGTGCGTTTAAGGTCGCCACCGGTCCCCCATAGCTTCTCTTTCAATGTGGCTCCCTTGGGCCAGATCCACAGTCTTTGCTGGGAGAGGAAAGGGCAGTACTGTAGTATGTGCCCAGGGGTCTGTCTTTCTGCTCCACAATCACAGGCAGCAGATTCTTTTATGCCTATCCTGTACAAGTGTGCTCGAAGACCACAGTGTCCAGTCCGAAGTCTAAATATTGTTGTTTGGTCTTTCCTGTTGAGTTTGTTTATGCTGTCACTCTCTGGTCTGTAATCTCCATTCTGCCTTCTCCACTCCCGCTTGAAAGACTGCTTTAGTGCTGTTTTGGTTTCCTTGTAGCTGTGTGGTGGATGAGGTTGTGGAAGATTACTCCCAGCTTTTGCCAACTCATCTGCTCTCTCATTTCCTTGAATACCACAGTGGGCTGGTATCCACTGCAAGACCAGTTCTGCTTCCTTGGAGAGTAAGCCAATGTTGGTCCTTAGATCTGCAATTAGTTTGTCTTGATTTTTGCTTGATAGTGCTTGGAGAACAGATAATGAGTCACTAAGTATAAAAAAATTTTGCCCGCTGTGTTCTTGATTGATGAGATGTTGGACTGCAGAAAGGAGGGCAGTTGCCTCAGCTCTGAAGTTAGTGCAGATGTCACCTGCTGGTAGAGAGAGAGTTTCTGCTCTACTGCTAGTGGGTTTAATGTATATTTCACAACCCCCCTTTCTGACTGCTTCTGTAGCAGAGCCGTCGGTGAAAACCTGAGTCCAAGTGGTGTTTGGATACTTCTCATCAAGCATAGCAAGAGCCAGGGTTCTCTGTTGTGTCTCCGTCTGGGCATCTTTTGAAGTGATCCCTGGTACCTTTAGGACTACATTTGCCTTCTCTGGCTTGCTTGTCCATGGTTCTGCCTAAGTTTTTTGCACAATGCAACATCTCTTTCAAGCAGATCTTGGTGCTGTCTGTACAGTTCTCTAGCAAGGTGGTTGGGGCTCCGACACTCCAGTCTGTTTTTTGTTCTCTCTTGAAATTTAAAATGCAGTGGATGACTTTCAAGTCTTTTTAATTTCTCATACTGTAAAAGAGTTTTGTATTGTCTTCTGAGTTCGAGTGGTTCAGTATCTGCTGTCCTCTCTATCTCTCTGATGGGGGTGGTTTTCATGGCTCCGAGAACAATCCTTAATCCCATATTCTGAACCTTGTCCAGTTTTCCCATTGTTGTCTGGGCTGCTGCAGCCCATGCAGTGGAAGCATATTCCATGACTGGCCTAACTGCTCCAGTATATACTTGTTTTAGGATTCTGGAGTTGGCGCCCCATGTGGTACCCGCTAATTTTTTCATCACTGCAAGCTCCTTGAATGCTTTCTCCTGTACTGCTTCTACGTGTGACTTCCAAGTTAGTTGCAAATCAAGTGTAACGCCAAGAAAGGTAGGAGTGTCAGTCTGTGGAATGAGCTGGTTTTTTATCCAAATTTCTATTTTTTCTTTTTTTTGGGGGGAGAGAGAGAAAAGTGATGCTGTGCTTTTTGAATTACTTAGCTTTAGACCCCACTTTTCGGTCCAGGCTTCTACATTTTCCACAGTTTTCTGTAACAGATATGAGGCTGTGGTAATTTATTCAGAGGCTGTCCAAACTGCAAAGTCATCAGCATGTAGGGTATTATAAACGTGCTGGTGGCAGGTTGCTGTGATTTCATTTATGTAAACCAGGAACAGAGTTGGTACTATTGCACTGCCCTGAGGAACTCCTCTTAGTTTTGCCAGTTTGCCGATGTGTCCATCAATTCTGAATCTGGCTCTGCGTTGAAAAAAAACAACCTTTGATCCACTTGTACATGTTGTGTACAACCCTTGTAGCAGTTTTAGTTGTAGCCCTTCTTTCCAAACTGTATCGAAAACACGAGAGAGGTCAAAGAAGACAGCAAGAACTTTCTTTTTTTCCTGGAAGGCATTCTCTATTTCCTGTGCCAGATATGTCAACTGGTCCTCTGTGTTTCTGTGCTGTCTGTATCCTGTCTGTGTGGTGGTGATTACAGAGTTTGTCTCCAAGAACCACATTAGTCTTTTATTTACTAATTTCTCCATCAATTTTCCTACACAACTAAGAAGGCTGATGGGTCTGTAGCTTTTTGGGTCTATCTCCACCCTTTTTAAGGATAGGCTGGATGAGAGCTTCCTTCCAGGCTGACTGTACCACCCCTTTTTGCCAGCTCTGGTTGTAAATGCAGAGAAGAAACTTCTTGGCAGCAGGTCCAAGATGAGAGAGAAATTCGTTTGTAATGCCATCAGCCCCTGGGGCTTTCTTCATTTTCATCTCTCCAATTCCAACTTCCAGCTCTTGCATGGTAAACTTTTCTGACATGCAAGCAACATTGACTATACGAAAAAAAGAATTAGATACATGTGGGCAAAAAATGATTACCAATACTATACAACTTTGACTATAAGAAAAGATGAATGAAACAGATAACTTTGGGCGGAAATGATTACCAACACTATACAACATTGTCTATAAGACAGAAAGAAAACTGATATAGAAAATATTCAGTAGAGTAGAAGAAAGGAAGAGAATAGAAGAATAAAGACTAAAATTGTTTAGCCAAGCCACCAAGCGAGAATGAATTTATCGCTGTCAGCAGTGAGAGTGTACAACCTGAAAATGGAAATACCTTGAGACCGAGAGAGACCTAGAAGAAGAGGATGGAAGAAAGAAGTTAATTACAACCTAAAATTTCACAACATCACAGACCACCAAGCAAGTCAACATGGCATAGCTCAGCTACCTGTCATTTGTTAAACTGTGATGCCTAAAAACACAATGTTATGTTGACAAAAGAAAAACAAGAGTTTTGCTACGTGAAGATGAATCATCATCGTCAGTCGGCAGATCCTTTACAGAACATCACTCTCTTCATAGCAGGCCTGAAAGTCTCTCTATCTCTAGCCAGTTCTCCAGCCATATGTGCTTTCATAGTCGATGCGTCTTCACAGTTTTGTATCCACATTCGTGGAGGTATTCCTCTACATCATTTTGACGAAAATGCACCCAACATTACTGTTCTCTTCTTTCCACTATGGCACTAAATATGGCACATAGCTGCCCTAACCTTCATCTTTGTGCCAGGTTATGCAGGTGTTCAAGGAAACGAGTGTACAGACAATCTTGCTGACACTGCTGTTGCTATAGCTGGTCCAATACTGGACAGAAGTGATGTTATCAATGCCATGCGCTGCCCTTACAGTACCGAGGAGCATGCCAAAGGACATGACTCCGTATCCCTGTCTAGACTGATGGACATGTGGGTGCAGCCTGGAGCTGCAAGAAATGAACATTTCACAAAGGGGACAAGACGTTTCATTAACCAACACAGAACAGGTGTCATCAGTTGTTTTACACTTGTGAAGCTTCTGAGGAGGAGATCGGAGCACCTATGGATCTGTCCGTAGTGCTGTGATGATTATCCTTTCTAATCACTAATCACTATCATTAAATAAAGCAAAATTACTTCTACGACAGGATGCTGTTAATGAGCCAATTCTCCTCGACATTTAGGCCATTCAGGATGTCGGTATTTTTTCTAAATGATAAAAAAGAAGAACTAAACTATGAAAATGTTCCTATGTAAACACATTATATTTTCATGCTTACGCAGGTGTTGGCAAACTGATTAGTGAGGAGAAGCTGGACACGGGAGCCCTACAGTTGCCAGTTGTACACAAGTACATCCTTGCCATGGGCGGCTACTTGGTTCTGCTGCTGGTGTTTGTATGTTTTTGTCTACCAGTGGTGGGGGTGACTACGGCGGGCTGGTACTTATCTTACTGGTTGGAGCAAGGGGGAGGGGTGAGCCATTCACTGTGTTTTTTCTGTACATTTTTTAAATTTTTAATCAGTGTCTGTTGCTTAGGGATTATGAATGAAGTTTCACAATTCTAGTATGCTGATGTTCAAGTCACTGGATTTTGACAACAGCACAATAAGGGTCAGATCCTTCAGAAAGCCACTAAATGTAAAATTTCCCTATGTAGGTTCCAGGGCCCAATTGTGGGGTAAAAAGAAATAGACCCACTGCCTACCCACCAAATATTTTGTAGCAGTCGACTAATTGGGAGCTTCGTTCGAAGTCAGAATTATTCTGCCTGACAGGCAAAGAACCAACGATCAGCCCAGAATTAAGGCAGATCTATTAAATGGATGTGCACGCAACACTCAGGTTTTGGAACAAGACTACAGAGGTGGACAAACAATCAGAACTTAACAGGTGGTGAACCCAAAGAAGAAGAAGAAAAAAGAAGAATGTAAAACTCACCTTGTTAAAGCCCAAACAGCCAACAACTTATCATTCACATGTGAAGCTCATAAGAATTGTGTTTTACCTATTTAATTCATGTGTATATGTTAATAAGCAGGCTCATATATTAGCTGCTACCACTCCTCTGGGTTGTTAGCTGCTTTACAATAAGGCAGTTATGGTGAAGAATCTCTGGGATCAAGTAAACAGTGCAGCAGAACAGACCATACATGTCTGGAGAGAATGATTCGGCTGGACGTGAGCTTGGGGGCTGGACAATTTTCTACCCCAAGGGTTTAAAAAAAAACAGGTGAACTTTTAATCAGTGTGCAGCCGGCACTATCAGTATGGGGACTCTTTGTTGGCAACTAAGGAAAGGGATGAATCACTTTGGGAAATTTCTGAGGTCATGTTGTCAGTTCTTGATGATGGATTGGTTGCAGTCTCTGGGTGATCATATTCATCTATTTCTTGTCTTGTTTTTAAAAACTCATCTTGGAAACTACTGCAGCCATCAAAAAACAACTTTGAATTCTCAAGACCAGTATAAATACTATCCTGATATATGGAAGTAAACCATGGACAGTTGGTTGATGAGTTAAAAATGTTGCTAAAGTGGCATAGTTGTGGCTTTATAGACAAATGATGAGATCAACCTAGATAGATAAAAGGAGTAATGAAGATGTCTTGAAAGAAACTGACTCACAAAGAGAACTGATTGCCCACATTAGAAAGAGACAAACTACTTTCTTTGTCATATCATGAGAAAAAGAAAACTGGAGTAGACTGTGAAAGTGGGAAAGTTGGAGGGGAAAAGAGGCAAAGGGAGACCAAGAGGAAGAAACTGGACAATCATATCACTTGGGCGGGAATTGTCATGAATCATTTGTTGAACCTCTGATTCTGCAGCATCAGCTGGCCAGTCTCTCCATTCACGACCTAAAGTGATTAGAACCCTACACAAGTCTGAAATGTGCTTGGACACCTCGCCCAAATGTACCAAGCCTGCACACATATCCAATTGTGTGTTCAGCTTGCGCCATGCAGAACCTTCCTCTTTTCAGTCTGTGACCCTTAGCTCTACCCAGGGAGTGCTTCTTGTCTGCAGCTACTCTGATTTATGACTTTGCTTGCAAAACTTTGAGCCTATCGCAGTGCAAGTATATATCGCATACATATTACCGGGGTATCTTTTGTACATCGCAGAATTACCTGCATGGCTTCATTCTGTATGCATTCAAGTTTCACCAGCTGACTCTTTGATATGGTAAGCATTCCAAACCATAACCTATCACTGACAGGATCACATGTTGGAATATTGTGAACAGCTTCAAATCCAAATGACAAGGTGAATTGAGACTTATTCCAGGGGCAGTGGATGACCAGGGTGACTTTGTCATGCCCAGGGCTCTTCACATAGCCTGCTTTCAGTCACATTTTGATCCACTAAACTATAGGAGCTTTTGGCTCTCCTCCAAATGACGGTCCCAAATTATGGAGGCCGAAAATATACCCTAACAGGGCCTCAGTCACATGTAAATTGCAGACCTCTTTCGGCGACTAAACTAGATGGCTGGGACTCACGAGCAGCAGCTACTGCATCTCATGCAGCTTCCTCCATTTTATTTGCTCATGTCCCAGCCATCTAGTTTAGCCCCGCTCTGTGCCGCGCGCACCGGCGCGGTTGATATTCTCGGTGGTAATGTAGTTGCCAAAAGAGGTCCGCAATTTACATGTGACTGAGGCCCTGTTAGAGTATATTTTCGGCCTCGATAATTTGGGACTGTTATTTGGAGGATAACCAAGGTTTTATATGCATGATCTGCTAAATCCAGTCTGTATATGCAGGGTGAGCATTGCCTTGTTGGCTGAGGGGTATTAACAAGGTCGGCTTCTCTATCGTGGTTTAGCCAGCCTGTAAAAGCTGTTTTCCATGTTGTCACCACTGTTGCTTAGTCTGAAAACATCAGAAACAATTAATAATACACATGACTGAAGGCTGTGCATACACTGATTCCTAGAGTCACACATGACTGAAGGCTGTGCATACACTGATTCCCAGAGTCACATGGCCAGGGCTATGAGTACAAGCTGTGCCATGTTGAATTAAGAATCAACACCACAGCACTCGGTACACCCCTGTAAGTGCTTTATCCCCATCTTCAGCAGCAAGCAAAGAGTTCCAGTGGCACCAGTAACTGTCTGATTGTATATCCGTTCTCATCCTTCCCCTGAGTGTTGAGCGTCACCAGATCCCCTGGTAACTTCTCGCCGCGCCATTCTCCTTAGACCGTAATGATCTATCTCTGCCTGTGCACTGTTTGCTCATTGCCAAAGGGCAAGCTGTGTCAACAAATTGGGAACTTCTTCTTCTTCATGTGGTGGAAAGTTCTGGTTGTTCATCCACTTCTGGACTTTAGTCGTGTTCTAGAACCTGAGTTTTGTGTACACATATATTTTACAGATCTGGCTTATTTGTATGCAGACTGTTGGTTCCTCACCTCTCAGGCTGATGCACTCCAGCTGTGAAGGAAACATTCTTTGTTAGTAGACTCTACTACATGCTTGTTAGGGAACAAATTGTTGCTGTGTTTGTTATTCGACATTTGCTTCGTTAATATAAATTTCTGTAACCTATGGTGCCATTCAAATGGTTTGAAATGAATTCTGTCTGTATTCCATAGTTGTGGATTTCATGTTGTATGATAGACATGGCCAAAAAGACACCTTTTTTTGGAGGTGCCTATTTGACCATGTTCTTAGTGCACTTGTATTCATGGCGAGGAGGTGACAGGTTCAATTCCCGGCACGTTAACTAAAGCTTTTGGATTTTTGTGTTGCCTAGTGTGTTCTTCTATCTATCTACTTCTTTCTATGAATGCCGATCAATACACTTTCTGTTACTTGATTAATTCATAAAATTGTTAGGGAACAGTGGATCTAATATGTTTTTCCCTGCCACAATAGGACCCCAGAACCCACATAGGGAAAATATGAATTGTAAACAATTTATATATACAAAGTAATTACATAATTTTCAAGCAGGAAAATCAAACAGCACCAGAGTGTGAGTAACAGTATGAATCATTTTTCTTTTGTGTAAAGATATGAATGCTCAGTACATGCTAACCTTAGGCATGACTCTGTGTTAATAAAATATAATTGAAGCCAAACCATGTGTCATAGGTCATCTTTTTCTTCCTCATTGACTCATAATCCTCTTGTTAACTTCTCTTATCTGTTCCCAATATTTTCTTTTCCTCGATCTACTTCTCTTTCTTCTTATTATTCCTTCTCTTTTTCCTCAATTTTTTATTTTTCTCTCCCCCCCCCCCCCCTTTTTTTTGGTTTATTTTGTATCTTCTCTTCTTTCTTATTCCCTTCTTTCCTCATCCTATTTGTTTAATATCTTTTTCTTCATTTTCTTATTCTGCTTTCCCCCTAATAATAGACACATTTTTTTTTGCGGTTTATAGCTAAGCTGTGATATCTTTATTTTCTTTGACCCAACACATCCAGTTTCAGCAAACCCTTATTTCTGGGCATTTTACAACACGCTTGTTGGGGGGGGGGGGGGGGGGGGGGTTGGGGTCTACTACTCCCCCCCCCAAAAAAATTTGGGGCCTTCTTCTTTGACTCTCCCAATCTCAGTCTGTAAACTCTAGCAGTCAGTTCTGGTTGTTTGTCCACTTCTGGCCTCTAGTCTTTTTCCTGAACCTGAGTTTTGAGTGTCCATCCATTTCACAGATCTGACTCATATATACACAGATTGCTGGTTCCTTGCCTCTCAGGCAGATGCACTCCGATATTCAAGGAAGTCCCCAATTAGTCGACTCTTACGACATGCTTTTGGGTCAGCAGTGGGTCGATTCTTGTTTTCCCTCAAAATGGGGCCTCAGAGCCCACACAAGGAAATTGTTTTAATGTTATTAGGACTGTTTTTTTTTTTCATTTCAGAATACAACCATGTTGCAGGGCAACTTGACTGTACCCAGCACCCGGGTTATAGATCATCCGGACTTAGAGTTGTACATGTTGATCTATGCTGCATTTATTCCAGTATTAATTATAACCACTTTGTTACGATCTTTCTCTCTTATGAAGGTGAGTTTTCTTCATTTAATTTTCTCTTTCTTTTAAGCTGCACATCATCTTCATATCATGCACCACGTCCTTTGCAGAATGTTGCTGCTATCAGGGACTGACAGTAAACCTAGTGTCCCTTGCCAGTTTCCTGCCTCCTGCATTGTTAATCATATTTGTCAGTCCAATATGTCTGCAATATTCTGTGTCCTTCTTCTGCTGGCCAGCCCTTCCTCTTCTTCCAAAACTTGTCTTTCAACACTGTTCTTTCTAAATTACTTGCAGTTTTATTCTTCTTCTTCTTCTTCCTATTTGTCTTTTTCTCCTTGTTTTTCTTGTTCTTTTTCTCCTCCTCCTCCTTCTTCTTCTTTTTTCTTGTATTCCTTTTTTCTTCTTTCTGATGTGTCCAATTAATGAACAGGGGAAGAGTTGTAAGGTAAAGCAATTGTCCTATACCTATTTAAAGCACATCTTATATTTGCACCTTGTTAGTAACATATCTCACTTTTACAAAGCCTGTTGACTGAATTTAATATGGCTAAAAGAATTATAGTTTGTAAGACATGATACTGATTATGTGCTAGTTGTTGTTGTTGTGTTCATATCTAACAAATTCATCCTTGACATTTTAAGAACAGTGGTAATAGTTTGGTGTGACATCACACCCCATACACTTTACTAATCAGATTTGACATCAAGTACATTTCTTCTTCTTTCCCCCCCCAAAAAAAAAATCTTTTTGAATGATAAGAGCTCATTAATGAACTTGGAAACCTGTACTAGTTTCAGACAGATGATTTCTACAGTCAAGGCATCATGAATGTGAAGAAGAAATGGGAGATGTTGATTACCTTGAGGGAGTGCTTTGTAGACACGGATTACAGTTTACTCTTGCAGTAGCTTTTCTGTACATTCTTTGACTCCGTGTTAAAGGAACTTATTCCCTGTATATTAAAGAGACCTGAGCCATGTCGAATAGATAAAACAACAACACAAAACGATGCTATGGAGTCCATCCCCTCTACCGTTGCAATTTTTGTTTACTATTTTGTTTAAAAGAGACTTTTTTTCTGCCAAAGTTAAAGAGTTTATTAGTTATTTTTATCACAGCTTTGTACTTCCCACAGGCAACACCCTAAGCATCCAACCTTTGCCAGGCCATGTGGGATTAAACCCAGTGCTTGAAAAATTTTTTATTTTGCTTGAAATCATTTTATTATGAGGTTTTTAAATGCAAGATAAAGATGTTTATAGGTTATTTTTTTATCACAACTTTGTACTGTTCGCAGGCAACACTAAGAGCATCCAGTCATCTCCATAATACTGGATTTATGCAGATTCTACGAAGTCCTATGTCATTTTTTGATGCAACTCCAGTTGGTAGAATTGTCAACAGATTCTCAGCAGATCTCGACGAGAGTGAGTAATGTGTGTGCTTGGTCACCTCTTCTTTCTTTTCATTTTTTCTTTATCTGCATCCATCTCTTTCCTTCTTTTTCTGATTGCTCTTCTACTTCATCTTTATTTTGTTCCCAGATCTCCACAGTTTCTCATCTGTTTTGCTCTCATTTATGTCTTCATTTTCTACTCCACTGAATCTGCCCTTTCATATGCATCTCATTGACTATTTATTTATTTATTTTTTGAAGAGGGGAAGGGTGTAATTTCTTATGTTTTTCTTCTTTCTCTGCAACTTCATACTACTGCAAGCATTTCCAGGTGTCACTAGGAGTGCAGACACGATGAGCTACTTGAGGTGGTGCACCAGGAGCACTAGGACTCAGACAGGACAAGACTTATCCACACATCTCCACAGTTATCCTATAAATTGGTTCCTAACCATGAGCTAACTAGACGAGACAGGGTTACGAATACCAGCATTAGAAAGTTGGAACAAGACCATGTCTGGATTATATTGACAGACAAAGAAGGAAATGGTTCACCTATCTAGTGGGAATGCAGCCAGACCAGACTGCATATGAGACTTTTTTCAGTAGAACATCTGGGAGGAAGGTGAGAGGAAGACCAAGAAAGCTATGGATAAATGGTATAGCTGAAACATGTAAAAGAGGTGAACAAATCCATCACTCAAGCCACCCAAGAAGTGCAAGACAAATACAGAAAGACTACGACACTGGGCTACAGCCTGGTATCAGTGAGATGGCAAAAAACGAAGAAGAATCAGGAGCCTGGCCAATGTAAATAGAATCAAAATTGTCTCTGCCTGCGAGATAAGGAACCAACAGTCTGCTCACAACTAAGCCAGTAAGTAGTTAAATCATAACAGATGTCCTCAGTAAATGTAACATTTCTATGTTCTACATGTCAGCAATTGCCATGTTTATGTTTTCTCCCCAATTCTTTTACAGTGTAGGGCAATCCCAGTCAGCTCATAGAATTCATTCCCACTCTGTGCTGCCATTGCCAGACACGGTCACTCACAACACACCAGCAAACAAAATTAGTAACCATAGTAATGAGATGTCTGAGAGGGGCTACAAGAGTGACCAGAAGAGATAAAACCAGTAATGAGGTCATAAGAGAAAATGTTGACACAGAACCAATTTTAAATTACATTCAAAGACAGCAAATCAAAAAGTTTGACTACTTACAGGGAATACCTTGTAATGCCATTACCATACAAGGCATACACCAAAAGAGGAGAAGGATGTAGAGAACAGGGTAGACCAAGAACAAGATGGAAAAATAACATCAGAAAAACTCTACACTCGGATGTGTCTATGGTTGAGGCCAGAAGAGCAAGAAGCGGAACTTTATATCTCCCTTGACACTCAAAGAGGTAAAGAAAAAAGTCAGGAAAAAGAAGGGAAAGGAATGCATTTAATTCTCCAGTTTCACATGCTTTGCTTATATTACTCATGACTTTCTCTGTTCTCAACAGTTGACGTCCGTCTTCCAATGAATGTGGAAGTGTTTCTAACCAACGTCTTACAAGTTATAGCATCCTTGGCCATGATTGGATATGTGTCGCCATGGTTTTTGTTGGCTTCTATACCCCTTGGTGTTTTGTTCTTTTTCCTCATGATTATTTTCCACGTCTGCATCCGGCAACTCAAATGTCTGGATAACATCACACGGTCACCAGTTATATCTCATATAGGAATGTCAGTCCAAGGTTTGGCATGCATTTATGCCTATCGTAAAACTGGAGAATTTATCAGGAAGTAAGCATCTTTGTTTGTGTTTCATTTGTGTCTTTAGTTTTGAGTTGGTTCATATATTTTCTGTAGATCATGATATTCTTGTGTTATCTGTGAAAACATTGGGTAGACATGTAATTTTTGTTGTTTTTAAACATTTTCTGTCCTAAGGAATGCATCATAGACTCATAGGTTGCTAGCTTGAAGCAGAGTGAACACAAGATGCACCAATTGTATGTTTCTCTTTACTGCCCCTTGGGCCTCTGATGCTAAACCCCAGGGACAGAAAAATTTCAAATTCAAACTTCATGCTCTCTCTCTCTATCAGAGGCAGAGTGTATGAGTGAGAAGTGGTGGTATGAGTGGGTGGCTGAATGAGTGGATGGATGGGTTAGTGAGTGTGAGTGGATGGATGAGTGAGTGAGTGGATGGGTTAATGAGTGAGTGGGTGAGTGGATGGATTGGTTAGTGGGTGAGTAAGTGGATGGATGGCTTAGTGGGTGAGTGAGTGGATGGATGGGTTAGTGAGTGAGTGGGTGGATGAGTGAGTGGATGGGTTAATGAGTGAGTGGATGGATGGATGGGTTAATGGGTGAGTGAGTGGATGGATGGATTAGTGAGTGAGTGGATGGGTGAGTAAGTGGGTGGGGAGTAAGTAGGTGGGTGAGTAAAGGGTTGGGTGGGTGACTGAGTGGTTGGGTGAGTGGATGAATGAGAGAGTAGATGGGTAGATAAGCGAAAAAAATGTTTTGGTGAATTAAATGGTTAGTGAAGTGAATTAATTGGTTGATGTTTGTATGTATGAGTATGTGGATGGATAATTGAGTTGATGAATGAATTAGAGGTTGAGTGAATGGTTTTGCAAGTGATTGAATGGGTAATTAAGTGGATGAGTGAATGAATGAGTGGTATATGGGTGAGATAGTAAATGAGTGCATCAAGTGTCAAGGAACGAGTAGCGAATCAGTGAGGTAGGGAGCAAATGAAAAATTGACAATAATCTGAAATGTTCTTGATTTTGGGCTGAAAAATCTAACATACTGTAGGCTGAATAATCTAACTTCTAGTCTTTAGGATTATTGATCTGATATATTTTCCATTTCTAGTCTATAGGCTTAATGATCTGATATATTCTTGACTTTTGATTGAATAATCTGACATATTCTATCATGTCGGCTGAATGATTTGACACATTTTAGTCTGCAAGTTAAATAATTTGAAGTATTCTATCTAATTTGCAGATGAAATAAATTGATATATTCCAGTGTGAAGGATAAATGTTTAAAATCAAATATATTCATGTCTGTGTACTTATAAATTTGACACACTGAATTATGCAAACTAATCAATCATATATAACTTATTCTGATTGTCTATTCAACCAGGCACTGTGGGCTGCTGAATGCAAACTCAGTGGCTGTTTTCCTGTTTTATGCAGCCAACCGGTGGTTGGCCTTACGGTTAGACCTGGTCAGTGCTGGAGTTGGTTTTCTCACAGCACTACTTATTGTGCTCACCTACGACCACCTGAATCCTGCTCTTGCTGGCCTAGCACTGTCATACTCTGTACAGGTAGTGTTGTCAGTGTTTGCATTACATTTGTATCTTTCATTTTGGGTTATACCTTTTGATTAAAAAAACAGCAGCAATCAGGCTCTCCCCTGCAAAGTGGTCAAGCCATTTGCTTAATGCCATGAACGTTGTGGGTTTCTTTCATGGATGTGCTGTTCCATTCATGTGTGCAGATTTTACAGAGGTATGAGTTACGAAATAAGAACCAACATCTTAGTTCTCCAAAGATTTCCATAAGCTCTCCATCCCCATCTTCAGCAACAAGCACAGAAATCCAATTCTGATGGTACTGGTAACAGTCTGATTGCATGTCCATCTCGCCCTTTTCCTGAGTATTGAGCATTGGCCAGGTCCCCTAATCACTCCTGGCTGCACTATTTTCTTAGATCTGTGATTGTTGCTGCAGCTACAAACACTCTTGGCAGGCAGCAAGCTGTCCTGTAGGTAAAGATAGAAACATGGAGGATACCACCTGATGCAATGAGGCGATCCTCTCAACTTTAAATTATTGTTGAATATTTGTGTCTTTTGTTATCAGTTTTTTGTTAAGCACTTATATCTTTTGTTAGCAGTTTTTCTTAAGCACTCATATATTTTGTTAACAGTTAAACACTCATGTCTTTCATTACAGTTATTTGTTTCACTCTTATGTCTTTCATTACAGTTATTTGTTTGACACTTATGTGTTTTGTTATTAGCATTTGTTAAACATTTACCTATTTTGCTATCAATTATTGGTTAAAGGTGGTATATTTGTGTCACAAAATTTATTTGTCCAGAATATTTCTGGTTTACTAGTTGGCTGTTGGAACAGAACATGGTTGTTCATAAAGAAGATCGTCTATGATAAAATATTAAAACCATTTGTGTGTTGTTTAGATAATTGTGTTGTTGTAAATAAACTCTAATAAAATGTTTAACTATATGCACTTAATTGCAGATGTCAGGATTGTTCCAGTTTACAGCGCGGCTGGCAGTAGAAACTGAGGCTCGCTTTACCTCAGTGCAAAGGATACTAGAATATTGTGATGTGAGTGATCATTAACAGTTTTACTTCTTAATACGACTGAAGTATGTTAATTTAACATGATGCAGTTTTTGAGGTAGTTGTCTTCAGTGAAAAGAGCTTGCATATCAGCGCAGAGGAAGTGGCGCGGTGATTTATGTCACAGGCGTGAGGGGAAGTTAAGTCCAACATGATGTGTATAAGGAGATACTCCGTACGTCACTCGGGCGCTAGTCCTTTAATATCCTGGTTGTACGGAACCTCACGCAAGACCCCGGCAGCACGTCCTCGTCGTGCGCCACGGATAATGTCTCAAATGAGCATTAACAGAGCTGCCAGGGGATCTCGGAGTTTGGCGGCCCCCAGAGGTGATGTGTCCTTGTGGCTCTCATCAGCCCGCCCCCAAACGCTTGGGTGAAAAAATTGTTATCAAAACTCATTAGGAACATGAGCAGGTCTGCCAAACGTACAGCCAAAATTACAACCCTTGGTTAAAAGACGGCGGAATAAAGAGAACATTGTTTTACTGCACATCCTCTGTTAACCCTCAGTGTCGTCGCCACCGCACTGGGGTACACCACAACAGCAACCATCCATAGGCTGGCCATTCATGTACATCCTTGGTTAACCCTCAGTGTCGTCGTCACCGCGCTGGGGTACACCACAACAGCAACCATCCATAGGCTGGCCATTCATGTACATCCTTGGTTAACCCTCAGTGTCGTCGTCACCGCGCTGGGGGTACACCACAACAGCAACCATCCATAGGCTGGCCATTCATGTCCTTGGTAAACCCTCAGTGTCGTCGTCACCGCGCTGTGGTACACCACAACAGCAACCATCCATCGATCGGATGGCTAAGCCTAAATTTCCGACAAAACTAGATCATACTGATCAAAATCTGACCTCAAAATTAGAATTGAACTGAAAAAGACCGAATGTCCACACCCAAGGACACCACTCGCCCGAGTGTTGGGACAAAACTGATAACGATATGCCTGATGCAGGATGTAAAATCTGTCGGGCTAACGGCTCGTCAAAGAAATCTAACGTGCGAAGAAAAAAAAATGTACCTATCTGTGTGGTTACAAAAGTCCAAAACCCGCGGGCTGCTCCCCGCTGACCCCCAGAGGGTGCAGCCCCTGTCGAGCGGGAAGCCTGATACGGTTGTGAGGTTAAGTAGGCTTGTGCAGGACGTGACGATTCCTTGGGTGAGCCCAGAACCAGAGCGCCATGTGTCGGCTCTGCATACATGGATGCCTCCTTGGATGGCGGGGAATGCCCAAGATCTGCCCCTGCCTTCCCTTGAGGGCTAACTGTTCCACAGGGGGCCGACCCAAAGGGGTATTCCGGGGGCAATACCTGCGGCAAAGGAGACGAAGTGGACACCACACAAATCAGGCAACGTCTCGACCCACACAAAACAATGGCCACAGTCACCCTAGAAATAGGCCTGACGTCTTCCTTCGAAGTCGGCGTACAGCTGCCCATGAGGCAGGGAAATAAAAAACGGTTGTACACGCAAAAATCAGGCCCAGGTGAAAGCCAAAAGTCCAAGCGGACGATTACCTGAACTTCCACTGGAATTCACAGCCGGTGTTCGATGAAAAAAAAAAAAAAAAGCGCAGAGGAAACCTTTTTTCTATGGCCATTTTTTTTTTTAATGGTGATAACATTCTTTTTTTTTGCCATACAAAATTGCTTAAAGACTTGTTTTTTTCCCTTCTTTTTGATTCTTTAATATAAATGTTTTTCTGTAACATTAAAAATTAAAAGCACTTTTTTGTTTCATTACTGATGAGAAATGGTCGATGACCCACAACTAAATTCTGCCACAGAAAAGAAGTTATTTCTCACACAGTTTTCCTTTATTATTTTTCCTGTATCAGGTAAAACAGCTTAAGTGACCAACTGCTTCATATATCATTGTGGCATTTTAAACAGTTAAAAATGTAAAGGGTATGTTTATACTATTACATTTTGCAGTTGAATGTTAAAACAGATGTGTCTCTGTCTGATTCTTTCAGATAAGTGAAAAAGAGATGTCTGTCCCAGTGACAAATAACCAGCTAGTCAAGGACTGGCCAAGGGCAGGGGCCATTAATTTCACTGGTGTTAGACTACGTTACAAGAGTGGTGGGCCCTTAGCATTGAAAGACGTTACATTTAATGTTGAATCTCATGAAAAAATTGGCATTGTGGGCAGAACTGGAGCAGGTATGAAACTATTTTCAATTTCAGTTGATATTAAGAACAGACTTCATCACACTTTAGGTTTATGACTGACTTTCTACCCACCAGGACATCACACTTTAGGTTTATGACTGACTTTCTACCCCACCAGGACATCACACTTTAGGTTTATGCATAGATACTAAAACAAAGAGATGGCAGTGATGGTAGGCCAGAGCCAGATACACACTTTGACCCTCTCACCCCAGCAACCTGTTAAAGAAAATCAAGCAATGGTCCTGTTAACTTTTCCCCAAAATCATTTTTGAAAAAGCAACCATTTTGCACAAGTCACTAATGAATCTTTAATGTGTTGAGAAAGAGACAGTGTGATTTGCATATTTCATTGGAAAGAATTCATTTATTGGCTCTTTGTTAAATGATGATGTAATTCTATAGTAATGCACTTGACAAGATACAGCAAAATACACTTGGCAGCAGATTGTGCAGTGTTGTATTTTTGTCTGCATTATTTAAATAAATCACACATTTTTTATTAAAATTGTAAAAGTTTTTATTTGGTGTAAATGAAGGGGAATAACTCAAAATGAATACTCATTAAAGAACATAATTTCATTTTCTAGAGACAATAAATGTATACTGTGGCTCAAGCTTGACCCTTGTCACTTTCTGACTACCACATGATATAAAAATGGCCCTAAACATCTTTTCTCAAATTCCTGTCCCTTTAAAGCAAATTTTAGTCAATATAATTATATCCAGGGCCTCCTGAACACTGCAGGTACAAAGAGAACCACTCCCATGCAGTTATGTTGGTTCCACCCCCATATGGGACACCATTTTTTTTATTATTTTAAAACCCCACCCGGCTGTTGCTGGGGGCCCTTATATAACCTAGAGGTTGAAAAGAGTTTCTGGGACTTGTGCCAAGTTGATCCTTATCCGAACGATGGCACTTTGTGTCAAGGGATGTTGATTGAAATTAGCTCGAGATGTGCCAAAGCTAATCAAGTAATGGGGCAACTATCTTCCCTGTTGACACACAAGAAGATACCTTGGAGTACCAATGTCAAATATATCAGAACTATTTTTTGGCCAACACTATGCTATCAGTGCCAAACGTGGACACTTACATCCTCTAATGAACGTAAAATTGTGACAACACAGATGAAATGCCCTAGAAGAGTTGCAGGAGTTTTAAGGAAAGACAGAATACGAAATCATACGAATGCTAGGAGTAAAGTCAGTCTTACAGGTCATCAAAGAACAACAAATGAAGTGGTTTGGACACCTAACAAGAAAGCCCTGGTACTATCTATCTACCACAGCTGGCTTCGCTGAAATGTTTCAACAGGTATAGTGTGAGTAGAAGACCTCGGAAAAGATAGCGTTATGACATTAAGAACAGCTTTACAGAAATGAACATCAATCTTAATAGTGCTGTTGACAGAGCTCATCAATGAATGTTACATCCCCCCCCCCCTCCCAATACTTCAGTGAGGTACACATTGGAAGAGAAGAAGATGAAGAAGTTTACTGATATTTTGACTCTTTCTTTTCTTATTTTCTGCCTAGGAAAGTCATCTCTCACAGTAGCTTTGTTCCGGCTGAGAGAGCTGGAGGCTGGAAAGATATTAGTGGATGATGTTGACATATCCAAAGTGTCTTTGGATGAACTGAGGTCAAGGCTGTCTGTAATTCCTCAGGATCCAGTGCTTTTTGCAGGAAATCTGAGGTTTGTATTGTTATGGCAGTATGTGTGTGAGTGTATGTGTATGTGAGTGTATGTGTGTGTGTTTGAAACTCTTACCTGTAGCCACAAAATAGGCACTATTGCGTGGTACCATCTTCCTTGTAAATGCCGCTCATTTTCCTGACTCACTTTAGAGTTAGTTAGTTAGTTGGGTTATCCTCATTGCACTCCGGACATGTCCATAGGTGCTCAGATCCTCCCCTCAGTATGAACCCCAACGTCCGATGGCTAATAGTACCAGTTCTATGTTGATTAACAAGTCTTCTGGCGTAGCTGGTGTGCGTCTCGTTTTTTGCTGTGCCGATCTTAATTCCCAAGTCTGCCATTTTGGCGAGTGATGTGGATTCACTGCCACCAAAGTCCTCTATTCTTCCCATTTCTCTGAGGGCATTGATAATATCAGCATGATCCATAGGCTGACGTCGGTAGTGATAGCGGATATAGCCAACCTGTCAGCTCTTTTATTTCCATTGACGCCTGCGTGTCCCGGAACAAAAATAAAGGTGACTGAACCTGCCTGAACCCTCCTGATCATACTCATTGAATCACTGAGTATACACACGCGGGTGTATTTTTGTGTTTCAAGCCAGGCAAGCGCTTGTGTCACTGCCATCACCTCCATCGTCATGCTGCTGGTTGTCATGGAGAAGGCGCCGTTGGCTTCTTTGACTGTTCTGCCCGCTGAGCGTGCTGTAAATGCCCATGTGCTTCTTCTTTGGCGTATAACGGATCCGTCTGTATAGATTATTGCATCTGCTTCGTCTGAATTTTCACCGATGAGAGCGTTGACCTCTGCATTAACAGCAACAGGATTCTCTTCTCTACATCGCCTGTTGAGTGTGACAATACAGGAATATGTACAAATAAACGCCTGAGGCACAGGTATCCATTCTGCACCAGGTATGATGTCGGTTAGGCTGCATATTTGCCTAATAACATCTTCTGCCCGACCTAGCCACGATTTCCCCCTCTTCAGTCTGTCGCCCTTTTCACTAAAAAGCGCTTGATGCAGTGGGTTTTTCTTATCAGCGCATATTTTGAGATATGCCCGAGCCCTCCACATCCTGATCCTTTGGTTCATTGTTGGAAAGTCAAGTAGATACCTCATTGCTCCACAGGATGTGTCTCTAGTACATCCCAAAAAAAAGCGCTTGGCTTCATTTTGCACCTTTTCGAGTCGTTCAATCTGGGTAGCACTGACAGTGAGGATGGCCAGAGCGTATTCAATGGGGGAAAGGACCAGACCGTAGAATAGAAGTATTAGTAGTCTTTGCTCAATATTGGAAGCAGCCATAATCCTCATTGCAGATAGACCTTTGCGTGCTTTTGTTATCACATGGTCAACGTGTTCCCTGAATGACAAGCTGCGATCGAACCTCACCCCGAGAAACGTCATAACGTTGGTTCTGATCAATACATTATCACGCATTTTCACTTCTGGTAAGTCCGACTTGACAATGTGATTGTTCAAAGAGAACCATGACACTGATGCCTTCGAAGGATTGACATAGGCATTGGAACCATCACACCAGGCGGCAATTCGATCGAGTTCTTTGTGCATAGTGCTGGCGATCTCCTGTCTATCACGCCCTCGTCGATAAATCAAAATGTCATCAGCAAATGACAAAGTCCTTCCCTTTCCATTCAACTGCTGCTCAGTGATCATCACCGTGTAAACGTTGAATAAGACTGGTGATAGCGGTGATCCCTGTGGCAAGCCTGGACATATCGTTTGCGGTTCGGAGGACCAGCTACCACATCTTAGTACAATCTTTCTCTGGAACAGGACCGCAGCAATCCAGCGGATCAGAATAGGATTAACTTCTAGTTTAAGCAGTAATTGCATTAAATAATCGTATGGTACTTTATTGTAGGCATCTTCTAAGTCCAACACTGCCGCACATGTCTCTTCTTTAATCTGAAATCCCTCGTACACATCGTAGGCGAAAACTGCAGCATTGAACCATGTCTCTTTATTTAACCTGTACCCTCCAAGTGTTGGTGGGAACTTATCATGTAGTTCCAAGTAGGTGGTCAATCTTTGTGCGACAATTTTTTCCAAAAGTTTGCCAAAGGTATTCTGCATCGAGATGATTCTGTAGCCGCAGATTTTCGAGTGGTCTTTATTAGGCTTTGGTAGTGGAAACAAATAACTATGGAGCCATTCCTCTTGTATCTGGCCACTCTGGATGCTGATATTGAATTCCTTTGCCACGCTTTTCCTCAGCATTCAACATCATCAGCATGTCGTTGTATCGGATGCCGTCAGGGCCTGGAGCAGTGCTGCGCGATTTCTTGAGGCAAGTTCTTAAGGTATCTGCAGTGATTGTGAGATCAGTGCCTAACACAGTGTTCTCACACAGCATCGACAGTTTCATCTTAACCCCTATTCTTGTAGCTTCGTCTTTTTGGTCAGTTTGCTCCAAGTAGCGCGCCAGAAGGGTTTTTCCTTTATCAGCATCAGTTCTCTGCCATATCAGGTCTGTACCCTGAAAATCAGGGATACCCCTAGGTCGTGCGGCGCCGTGCATGCTCCGTTGAAGGCGCCAGAATGTCACAAGAGATCCCTCGGAGCAAACGCTCTTGCAGAATTCGTTCCATTTTGCTGTCTTAGCTTCCTTAGCAATTACCTTGAAAGCCACTGTCTGCTTGTTGACCTCATCTTTCAGATTGATCAGGCGTTCAGAAAGTGACGGATCAATTTTCCTTGCCTTTTGCCATGCCTTGACAGCTTTCCTTTTTTTTAGCCACGCCATGTTGACTACTTCATTCCACCATGGTGGCTGGGCCCATCTCTCCCGCCGTCTGCGATCTACTCTTGTTTTACGTCGTCGGATTTTGCTAATGGCATCTTGCCCTGTACGGTCATATATAAAAGCAATTATCTGACACTATAGAGATATTTACTAAATGTCTATCTAAGAGAATTCATTTCATCTGCATCCGCACAAACGTTCAGCATGGCGAGGGATAACTGTTTTACTAAATATAGCAGTTAGGTGGGTTTCCCTTTGAGAAAATAGCTTTATTTATAGACATTTGTACTGAATTTTCCCCACTGGCTACAATAGTTACTGCCTCAGAGGGTCAGATAATTGTCATCCTATAATTAGTTTACCGGCCACAGGAAATGTCAGCCTGTTGATTCTATGCTGGATTCATTTTTGTTTTTTGTATACTTCCCTTCCATGGCGTGTGGATCAGAAGGTCAAGGGTTAGCTCCCTGGTGGAGCCGGACTTTTTTCAAAAATGACCATGACTTGCAAGTCGACTTAGCCTTGAGTGGGTACCGGGTGCAGTCCCTGCAAAGTTAAGGCGACCGGCGTGATGCTGACCACATCACCCATCTTGTGCCGATCGGTCTATACAAATATAGGTCTAGCCCTATATGCCTTATACCCCTAAAGGCATGGAAAAGAGATCTTTACTTTTTATTTAATTACTCTATAGTGTTTGTTCATGTTTTGGTTGGCTAATTGATTTTGTGCATATTTTTGGAAATATCTTTAAAACGGATATTACAGAAAATTGGCTTTTTTTTTTTTCAAGGTCACCAGGGCAAAGGGTTAAGTTTGTTTCAATAAGCAGCAACTTTCTTCTGTTTCTTGCCTCTTGGCTTTTACCTGAAGGTTTGTGCACCCTGAGAATCAAACATTGTTAATTTGGACGACAAGCCAATAGGGCAATCCCCGATTCTTTATTCGACTGGGGCCCATGTAAAGGCCATGTGTGCCAGTTATGACAAGCAGTGGGAAGGGATCAAGTTGCCATTTGTAATTAGTCATTGTACTTTATGAGTAAAGTTAAACTAAGCAAAGAATCGCCATCACAGCACTCAAGACATTTCCTGTAAGTGCACAGTCCTTATTTTCGGCAGCGAGTAAAGAGTTCAGTAGCGGTCTGATTGTATAATCTTCTAGCCTTTTCTCTCCAAGTGAGGAGCGTCAGGCAGATCTCTTGGTCACTTCCTGCTGCACCATTGGCTCTAAATTATAATATGCAATACCATGGACTGGGGAGAACACTTGTGTAGGGCAGTGTTTCTCAACCTTTCATACCTGTGACCAACCAATACAGTGTTGTAGGGCAGTGTTTCTCAACCTTTTCATACCTGTGACCCACCAGTACAGTGTTGTAGGGCATTGTTTCTCAACCTTTTTATACCTGCAACCCACCAGTACAGTGTTGTAGGTAATGATTCTCAGCCTTTTCATACCTGCGACCAACCAATACAGTGTTGTAGGGCAATGTTTCTCAACCTTTTTATACCTGCAGTATTTGAGGTATAGAACTTTCAGAGTATTGTAGTTTATCAGTAATTTTTTGAATTTGGTTTCCACATTTGAGCACTGTACAGTGTTACTGATTTAACATTAGAGCTAAGTTATCTGAGTTTGGTGTTTTAATGTTTTTTGATTTTGACATATTTCCTTAAGCTATCAAAACTCCTCTTGATGAATGCAATCAAATGTTTGTATTTCTATATTTTCCCCTGTCTTTATCTATAATAATCTTGATCTATATTACTGCCAACATAGATCTATGACTCCACAGCTAGAAGTGGGATTTCACCAAAATAGCTTTGGTTATTGTTTACCTTTTTTATTCTCATCATCTTTGTCTTCATTATATGTTGATGTGTATAATAAATGTCACTCGCATTATTTAAGGACAAGTACATACATTTTAGTATCTTGGAATATGGATAACTTTAGATGGAATATAAATCACACACACAAACAGAAAAAGACAGGCTAAAGACTGCATTTACATCTCATGTTCAGTAAATCCCTGTCATAGGAAGTTAGAAAAAGAATTATTGAATGCTTTGTAGAACAAGAACTAATATATGGCTGTGAATCCTGGACAATTAATTAACAAACAGAGTCGAGTAGGCAGACAGAATTAGACCATGTTGTCACCACAAAATGTGTGATGAAATGACAGACAGGAAGTGATGTCATGAAGTCCCAGAAAGGGGAAGCACTCTGTTCATCTAAATTCCACTTTTTGTCTAGTTTTTTTTCAACATTTTAATAAAGAAATTTATAATATTGCGTTTTTGAAGCAATAATGAATAGGTAGGAAACAGTGGTCCAGACCAGCTTGTCACAAAGTACCTGATGATGATGAAACTGGGTTATTGTTTATCTTGTTTACTCTCACATTTTTCTATTCTGTGCATGTTAATGTAATTTATGTAGCAGGCATCAGAATACCTCAAAATATGACAGACAGTAAATTATTTATTAAATCGTTTGTGACCTCTTTACAAAAATTTGTTTTTAGATAAAACATTTAATTTTATCTGGTTTCCTTGTATAGATACAACCTTGACCCATTCCAACAATACTCGGATGCAGATGTATGGCAGGCACTGGAAAAATGCCATATCGCCAACATGGTAAGACAGGTCACTCGCATTCAGTGTATCATGTTCTACATGCTAGAATTTGATTACTTAATCATCATCATCATGTAGCAGGTCCTTTGCAGAATGTTTCTCTCATTACAGTAGACCAGAAAACCACATAATTGCCTGCCAACTTTCCCACCTTGTGCTGGTTGACCCATGCTTCATCTTTCAAGAGCTATCTTCTTCTTCTTCTCTTTCTTCATCTCTTTTTTTTTTCTTCATTTCCTCCTTCTACTTCTGTATCATCTTCTTCATATATTTCTTCTTCTGCTGGTACTTATCACAAAATTGCACGTACAGCCAGAGTTTCTTCCCCTGCCATTTATGCCGTGACCGGTCCCACAGCCTGTCCTATTTTGTAGGGGTGTCATGGATTCCTTATTTTCAAGGGTTTAACCATTCTCTCTTTTCTCATATAGTCACTGCTCACCTGTGTGATTATTTCCATGTTGTGCTGCTTGTCTGGTGGTTCGTAAGTATAGAAACTGGGATGTTTTTGTATTTCAACATTCCTTGTCAGTGGCTTCTTTTTTTTCTGGTGGGGAAGCCATCAACAAGGAACGTAGAAACACAAAAACATCCCAGTTTCGATCCTCAAAAACAGTCACGCCTTTAGTGCTTCCCCCAGCAGTACTTCTTACTTATAGACAGGCATCTGTGGTATCTCAATGAGACTCACAACAACACAACCTCCCACAAACATTATATACAGCAATCAAACTTTGAACGAAGCCATCTCATAACACCCTCACAACATAGGACAGGCCGTGCAAATGGCAGCGGTATGATTAGTAGTGGAAGGAAGTCTCGCTGTGTGGGCAAGTTAGTGATAAGTTTCCTTCTTCTTCTTTTTCTTCTTCTCCTCCTCTCCATCTTGGGTGAGCTGATGTAATGATCTTTGTGTGTAGGATCTCATCTCTGTTATGATTTTGCACTCATTAGTTGAAACCAGGGTCTGTGTTTGACAAAGTAGCATGAAGTTGGCCAAAAATTAGTTCTTTTTTTGTTTATATTTGGTAGAGAAAAGTTTCCTTCTATATATAAAATTGGGGTTCGTTGCCCAAGTAGCTGATTTGCTTTGCCACACCGGATATTGATTTCTCTATCTTTCTGATGTGAAAATTTTGCTCTGGAGATATTTAAATCCACTTTCCTGAAATCACACTGTTTTCTCTAAGATTATTTGACCACTCATACAAAATTGCCTTGTATCATGATTTCTTTTTTGTCAAACTCATACAATGATCTGCTGATTCTACAGGTGAAGTCTCTGGCACACCAGCTGGACACCAGTGTGGTGGAGAATGGTGATAACTTCTCCGTAGGAGAGCGACAGCTGATCTGCATGGCCAGAGCTCTTCTAAGAAATAGCAGAGTAAGAGCAAATATGCACTACCATCTGCCCAGTAGATGTTTAAGTTACTAAATCCTTTATTGTTGATTTCTGCAGTTACCCAGCTATCATCATCTTCCAATCAAAGGCTTGCAGTCTGTTCCTCCTGTTCATTCAATCCTGTGTTCAGAGGAAAGGCAAGATGGACATATAATTAAACTGCTACTGGCACCATTAAAATTGTAACTCTTCGCTGGCTGCTGAAGATGAAGATGGAGCGCTTATGGGAATATACCGAGTGCTTTATGTCACTTCTTAGTGGAACACTCAACACACTCGATCTATCCTGTACAATTTTGTTTTAACATAACATCATTGGCCTCTCTCATCAGTGTTCATCTTGAGGTTATTTTTAGATGTCCTCATTTTCTTAGTTCTTTTGTTTCCCATTTCATTATCTGTTTGGTGATTTTCTGCCTGCTTTTCCTCAGGTTGTATCATTATCTTCTTAGTGTTGATTTCTTACATTTAAGATTTGGTTAAAAACCTTTTGTTTATAAATGTCTTGATTACAAACTTCTTGTTTATAAATGTCATGAATATAAAAAAACTAACCAATAATTGACAAATTCTTTCCCAGATTTTGGTATTAGATGAGGCCACAGCTGCCATTGACTCAGAGACTGATGCCCTCATCCAGCAGACGCTGAAAGAAGCTTTTTCCGAATGCACCATGCTTATCATTGCCCATCGAATTAACACTGTTATAGGATGCAACAAGATTTTAGTCATGGAGGAAGGAATGGTATTTATTTATTTTTTTTCGGACTCAAATATTCAAACATTGTGCAATGTATCGTTTGTGTCCTCATGTGTCAGTTAGTAAGTTAGTTAGTTGACAGATTATCATCATCACACATCAAACCATTCAGTCCATAATCCGCATTAATTAAAGTCTAAAAAATATTGTTTTCTATTCGTAAATATCTATTACCTGAATAAATAAACACTTAAGACGGAATACAGTCCCATTATAGCCTAGTGGAGTTAACAGGATTTTAATGATACTGCTACTACTACTACTACTACTTTTACTACTACTACTACTACTACTATATCACATGCTGCTGCCAATACTACCACCACTAGTACTATTACTAATGCTACTGTCACTACTGTCTCCTACTGTTATTACTACCAGAGGTCGGCATTTAATTTATGCAACTTGGACTCGAGTTAGACATAAATCACTTAATTGACTTTGAGTTTTGTCCAGGGACTCATGACTGGGCTTGCTATATAAAGCTTCAACATCTTGGTACAACTCATTTTTCATGGCTAGTCATTGTGAGGCTTGGCGATCAACTGCACAATTTGAAACTTATTTTTATAAAACAGGACAAACCAAATTCTGTTCTGGTTTATCAAACTATTACATTTAACTTCTTCTCCTATTAGATATTTACATACAAAGTCAAAATCTCACAACTGTTGCTGTTGTTTTGATATTATAACTGACACATGCAGAGTCAAAATCTAAAAACTGTTGTTGTTTTGCTATGATAACAGACATATGAGTTTAATCCATAGGCATTGTTCCATGTACAACTTGCAAATGACTTCATTCTTAAAAAAAAAAAAAGGTAAAGTCGGGAGATGTAAACCAGCGTCATTGCACACGGTTATAAACCATAAGTGCGCTGCCACCAGTACGGACAGCTGATAAGAATTCTCCGCCTGTGTCGCCGTCCGCACGTAACTCTGTAGCTACAGCGACGTTCCTCCATTTACCCCAGAGTGTTAACCCTGGTACCCATTTCCTAGAGGCTGGGTGAACCCCAGGAACCACTCAGTTTCGAACACCGACCGTGACTGCAGCGGGATTTGAAAGCGAGCCTCTTATCGACTGCGCTAACTTGGCCCCCTATCATACTTGAAGTGAACTGGCTCATATCGGGATGGGAAAGCATTCTGGGCCATTTGAGACTTGAATTGTGACTTGATACTTGAAGTGAACTGGCACGTGTCTGGACATGGAAGCTTTTTTGGCCACTTGAGACTTGACTTGTGACTTGGTGGCAAGGGTTTGAGATTTAGTGGTAATGACTTGGGACTCAACGGAGGAAAGACTAAATTCAACTTCTGATTACTACTATCATATTCACCTGCTGCTACTACTGCTACTGCTTCTGCTGCTTCTGTACTACTGCTATAATTTAAAACTAAAATAACCAATTCAGCCTTTGAGCAGCTGGGTTAATTGAAGATATAAATATGTCACCTAATAAATGAATGTGATCATTCTTTATTTATTAACAACACAAATGTCAAGTCCTTCACAGAAATTTGATAAAGCAAGAAATAACATTGAATATGATTAGGTAGAGGCAGAGGTAAACCAACTCTTGTACAAAACTTTATGTATTTCAACACTCAGTCCTGGAACAGGGTTTAAGTCCACACACTGACACTCAACAACGAATTTCTGACATAGTGTTGCATGTCCCAGTGGGTAGATGATTTTAGGATGAGTGAAAGTTTGATTCTCAACACACCACGTCCACAGGAGAAACTGGACTAATATCTGAGCTATGTTGATTCCAGACACATTCCCGAATATCCCCCCCCCCCCCCCAAAAAAAAAAGAATAGCCATATTTGGCTCGTAATATAAATTCACAGCAGCTGCACTTGCTACCCACAGGAGAAGGAAAGGTGTTTAAGTTTTAATTAATTAATTTTTTGACAGGGCAGGTGATCCCTTCCCGACGACCTCCTCCTGGTAAAGAATTATTATAGATCCTCCACCAAATGTAATTATATCTAATAGTTTAGTCAAACATGCTAGAGCAATTACACTTGGAATTTTAACAAAGGATGTAATGAAAATCTTGATATATTGATTTATGATACCAACAATCAGTTAGATGACCTTTGCCATGGTGCAATATTTGAACAAACACGTATGGTGGTAATGAGATGCTTCAGTTAGAACAATGAGCATCTGAGATAAGAGTGATGTTCTTATGATGATGATAAGCTTAGGAACAAAATATGTAACTTTAATAAATTACAACCTCAGAAAGCCCTCAAATTTTTCTTCTTCTTCTTCTTTCACCGGCTGTGAATTAGGGCGGAAGGTACCGGTTAATCATCCGCTTGAACTTTTGGCTTTTACCTGGACCTGAGTTTTGCATGTACAACCGTTTTACTGGCTTTCGCCGTTCCCTGCCTCACAGGCAGATGTACTCCGACTTCGAGGGAAGACGTCAGGCCTATTTCTAGGATGACTGTGGCCATTGTTTTGTGTGGGTCGAGATGTTACCTTGTTTGTGTGGGACCTCTTTGTCCCTTTCACCACAGGTGTTGCCCCCCCAGTACCCCCTTTGGGGCAGCCCTGTGTGGAACGGTTAGCCCTCTAGGGAAGGCAGGGGCAGATCATGGGCATTCCCCGCAATCCAAGGAGGCTTCCATAAATGCAGAGCCGGCACATAACGCTCTGGTTCTGGGCTCACCCAAGGAATTGTCACGTCCTGCACATAACTGCTTAACCTCACAACCGTATTAGGCTTCCCGCTCGACACAGGCTGCGCCCTCCGGAGATCAGCGGGGAGCAGCCCGTGGGCTCTGGACTTTTGTGACCACACAAATAGGTACAATCTTTTCCATTGCACGATTGTCATCCTTAGCATGCTGTTAGCACGACAGAATGGAGAATCCTGCGTCAGGCATGTCTTTATCTGTTTGTTCCCAACACTCGGGCGAGTGAGATGTGGACAATTGGACTTTTCCAATCAATCCGATTTATGATAGTCGGATTTCGAGCTTGCTCGTGTGCCGTAGGATCTATTTTTGTCAGACAATCGGGCTTAACCAGCCGATGGATGGTTGCTATCTTGTTGTACCTCAGCGCGGTGGTGACGACACTGAGGGTTAACAGGATGTACATGGGTAGAATCTTGCTGCAGGACGCCACCCACAGGAGATGTTACTCGTCTGTGCTGCGGATAAATCTCTAGGTCAAGGGTTGAGTCTCAGCAACACAATGTTCTCTCCACAACACAAACTTTTAAACGAGGGTTGTCATTTTAGTTGTACATTTGGCAAGCACTTTACTCATGTTCCTAATGAGTTTTGATAAGCTTTTTCACCCATGCGTTTTGGGGGCAGGCTGATGAGAGCCACAAGGACATTACACCTTTGGGGGCCGCCAACTCCAAGATCCCCTGACAGCTCTGTTAATGCTCATTTGAGACATTATCCGTGGCACACGACGAGGATGTGTTGTAAGAGTCTTGCGTGAGGTTCCGTAAAACCAGAACAGTGCAGGAGTAACTCCTTATACACATCACGTTGGACTTAGCTTTACCTCATGCCTGTGACAGAAATCACCACGCCACAGCCCTTGATTTGAGGCTCTGTCTATCTTTTCCCAGCTTGCGGATCTCCCACGCAATGGACCCTCTGCTTATGATAAGGTCTGACTGGTCCTTGCCCCTGATGGGAACTGTAACAAAGGAAACAAGCACATATGTTTAGTATTTAGACTTACATCAAACATGCATTTCTAATAAAAACATATCTCCTCTCTTCTCCTCATATTCACTTTCTCTCCAGTCTAGTCTGAAGGTCTTAATATATAATCTGTTATAATTGACAAGCATAAATATCCAATAACGAAATAGAATAAACTTCATATCCCAGTTATAATCCAAATAGGAGGAACAATATGTCAATGATTAAATTACTGATACTACACAGTATACATTTTTTGTTTTAATCAAAACTAGAAACTTTTTTCATGAGCTCATTTGACCCTCAAAGTGTCCTTTTCTACATGCTCTGTAAGTGTTCAATGGTTGACTGAATTTGTACATTATTATTATTTTTTTTTTTTTTTCAGATCAAAGAGTTTGATATACCAGCTAGTCTTTTGTCAAATCCTCTCTCAAAGTTCAAGTCCATGTATGATGCAGATATTTCAACAAAATCATGAAGTTTTCATTAAGCTGAAAGAATTTAACAGATTGTGATTTAATCTCACCAGCTGCTTTGTAAAGTGGCCAGGTTTTCAGCTTTCATAACAAGGTTTCCCCATGTAGGTTCTGAGGCCCTAAAAGGGGGGGGGGGGGGGGAATAATAAACCCAGAGCCCCCTAACAAGCATACTGTAAAAGGTAATAAATTAGGATGTGTTGGTCCACAAGGCACATATATTACAACCGATAGGTAAACCACAACACAACATGCCAACTGCCTTTTTAAAAGTAAATCCAGAAGAAGAGAGCAAGATTTGACACAAGTCCTAATAGGTTGTTGAGCAGATAGTTAATGATGGAAATTATCATCAGGAAAATCAGATGTATTACTGTCAAAGAGGCTTTGGAAACAACCACTGTTTTAACCAGATACCAGTTTATTTTGACCAAACTAAGAAAGCCAGAATACACACTGCTAACTTTTTGGGATTTATGGGAAGGATTCAATGACAAACTAATAAGGCTAAATGAATTTAAATTCTTCTCATCATATTTATTTATGTTTATGAACAGAATTATTTCCAATCTAGTGGCTGGTGCTTGCCTGTTGGCCTTAAGGTCTTACGTTTCAATCCACATCGAGTTACACATTAAAAAAAATACCTTGGCTTCCTGGCCAACTTTATGTAAAATGGCTACCTGGTTGTGACGGTGATTGTGCCACTGGTGTTTAAGTATTTTTAAAATAATATATAATGTAATTGAAAATAGGGGAAGTATGTTCTAGTGAACATGTATCCTTATACTAAATATTGGGAAAGTATGTTCTAGTGAACGTGTATTCATTGTAAATATCGGAGAAGTATTTTTTAATGAACATTTATCTTCATACTAAATATTGAGGAAGTATGTTCTAGTGAACATGTATCTTTATATTTTGGAACTATTGTAGCATATATATATAGATATATAGATATAGCTATAGTGAAGCTATTGTAGCAATACATTAGAGTTACTAGCTCATATATACTGGAGCTGTTGTAGCACATACATAAGAGCTGTTGTAGCACATACATGAGAGCTGTTGTAGTTCATTTATAAGAGCTGTTGTAGTATATACAGTAGAGCTGTTGTAGCACATACATGAGAGCTGTTGTAGTACATTTATGAGAGCTGTTGTAGTATAAACAGTAGAGCTGTTGTAGCACATACATGAGAGCTGTTGTAGTATATACAGTAGAGCTGTTGTAGTATATACAGTAGAGCTGTTGTAGCACATACATGAAAGCTGTTGTAGTTCATTTATGAGAGCTGTTGTAGTATATACAGTAGAGCTGTTGTAGCACATACATGAAAGCTATTGTAGTACATTTATGAGAGCTGTTGTAGTTTATACAGCGGAGCTGTTGTAACGCATACTGTTGCAACATATACAGTAAAGTTTTTCACTTAGCTACCAACACAACAGTCCTGGGTTCTACTGTCTCAGGAGGTAGGATTTGATTTGTCCCAAACCTATAACCCTAGAATGGGGCTAAGACTTATAAAGTAAGCACCACACTGAGTTTCACATACAAAAATTGATTAGTGAAAACATGAAAAGTGAGCAGGATAAATGGCCATATGGTCGTAGTTTGACATAACACCTCATAAGATTGAGTTGACTTTGATGTAAAAACTGATTTACTTCTGCTTCTGCTGTGTGTTTTATTTTGGGGGATTTAGGGAATACAGTTAGTTTTTATTCATTACTGTCTGCCTTCACCCTAAGAAAGTTGATCATATGTTGTGTTGTGGTGTACAGCAATGCTGAGATATCTGTACATTTTGACCTAGCACATCGTCTTTTACAACATTCTTTTAAAACATGGTGGGTCTATTTCGAACCACCCCCCCTCCCCCTCTATGCCCCCACCCATATTTTTTCAGTGTGGCCTAAGAATACATTAACTCTTTGAGTCCCAGCGGGTTTAGCATTGCAGGCCTAAGGGTTAGTAAAGAGAGACATAAAATTGACACTTTGTGCATTCATTGGGCTTCTAGAAAGGAAACAACGAACATATAATGTGTTCCTTGGGACTCAAAGAGTTGAGTTCTGATAAATCTGTCCAGATTTTGGTATGAAACTGCCTGGCCAGTTGCTTACATTCTCCTTCTGTGGAAAAGGCATGCAACTGAACATTGTTGTTAATCACATGGTATTGTTGGGATGCCAGATAATTTTTTTTTTTTTTTTAAATACAAGGAAAGAGATTTTATTACAATTGTTTCAGTGTGTTTTATTCAGGTATAAGCTTTAATATACTGGTTTTAACTTATGCAACATGGCTTCTTTATATGATCATATATTGAAACATTAAATACACACATGTATTATGTTTGAGTAAGAATTGAATGAATCAGGTAAACCCAAATCTATGTTTCTTAACTCTTTCTGTGCAGAGTGTTGTTGTTCAGTGCTGTATATCCTTAGGTTTATGTATCTTGGAGCGACATTTTTGTTTTAGATATGATTAAATTGAAGAATTCAACTCAGCGTATGCAAGATTGAATAAATATCCAAAAGTAAATATCTGTAGGTAGCTTCAGCAGACTACTTATTTACCCTGGCATCCTAAAAGAGAACCTGGCTTATGTTGGCCGTTCTCGTCGCCAATTCTCCTCCAGTTTCGATCTTGCAAGATTGTGGAAGTCAGATTTGCAGCCACAGCTACTGAGTTTAGTGCTCCTGGCGGCACTATGAGCTTTGATTATTGGTTATTGACTGAGTTCCAGATTCGTACATAATGGCAATGGATGGGTGATGTGTTTTTCTTCGTTGTGTTCCTGGGACAAGGCGTGTGCTATAGCTGCTATTTATTTGCTGACCGTGACTGCAACTTGGCCAAGGACGTGGAGAATGGTCAGGGATAGTTTTGAGCTACTCGTCGCCCAGCTGTGCTACAAATGAAGTTGATTTTCAGCAATGATGCCTGGTCTCGCAGTGTGTTTAAGGAGTCATGCACCTTATGATTTGCCAGATCGAATTATGTGTGTTTTGCTGACTGAGGACACTTGGCATGGTTACGGCATTCACTTAAAGTATCCAGCGTATTTGACTCAGTGTGTTACTGGAATAACTGGCATAGGCCGTTGAGCAATTATTGGCCGAGCTTGTTTGCTGTGATTCCAGAACCGTAACGACTAACTAACTAACTGAAGCCAGTTCTAGCCCAGAGTGATCTGACACATATTTGGACAACTCAGAGACTCAGGTGGAGGAAAGAAATTTTGAGGTACAGCAGGTTGTGTATTTTTGGTTTTACAAGCAGCCTAGAGAGGGTTTTTTTTTTTAAACAGGAATTCAAGCACTTAGTCAATGCTGTAGGGCTTGCACTGAACACAGTGGCCACCAGATAGCAAACAAAAATAACACATTTATTCTTTACTTTTTTCAGATCACCAAACAGAAAAATTCAAGATTTTTCATTTGTAGCATAACTAAACTCTTTGAGTCTCTGGGGGTTTAGCATCAGAGATTTAAGGGGTGGTAATGCAATTTTTTAATTTCACAAGTGTAACACATTAAAACATACCATACTAATTTAATTGCTGCACAACATACACGTATCTAACATCAAAGTGACCAGGGATTGTTGAGGAATAATTATAGAATATAGACAGTGTGTCTGTTTAATTACAAACACATTTATTTGTTGTAGCTATATTCTATAATTATTCCTCAACAATCCCTGGTCACTTTGATGTTAGATACGTGTATGTTGTGCAGCAATTAAATTAGTAAAATGAAATTTAAAAATTCCACTTACCACCATGGCACTCAAGAAAAACTGGTTAAAATATTTCCAAAATGAATCACAAATAAATATGAACCACTTAGTAATGTATAAGTAAAAAATAAACTCTATTCATTCGATTTTGTTCCAAAGAATCTTTTGAAGCATCATAACAGAGCTCCATTATTTGGTAAATAAAACTGACATCAGACCACAAACAACTCGAAAGGAAGTTGAAATTGAGTGGTCTGCATGTTACAACCGGTCAGTCTTAAAAACCTTCACTTGTCACACGCCGATTAGGCCGCGCGGTTGAAACAAATTAGTGCTTGATACGTTCTCTGGGACTCAAAGAGTTAATTTGCTTTAAGATTTCCCTATTTCTTGCACACTGTACATGCCCGATTATTTATAATAACGTTTGGAGTATTATTTATAATTTGATGCATTTTTTAGTATTTAATTTACAACTTCATTATTCATTACAAATATAATAAATAAATGTATGCATACTTCAAGTAAAGGATTTGGAACTGTAGCTACTTCATAAACATGAGGTGGATAAATGTAGCTGCAATCCCAACCAAAGCGTTAAATAGTCAACTTATTCTTTCCATATACAGGTTATTAAAAAGTTGTAACTTGAAAAAGCAATTAAAACAAATTATAATAATGAGCTCAGAGATGTTGTTCTAGTTTCACAGGTATCTCATAATCTAAGCTGTTCAGTAAAGGTGCAGTCATGTCTACTGATTCAGTGTTTGTGTGTGTATTGTTGTAGCACTGTCTGTATCAATCTATCTGTTGTATCATTTACTCTGTACTTCTTTTGTGATATATTTCATATTTTTTTTAATGTTTGGAAAAGACAACTGGGTTTTGTAAGCTTGGTTTTATACTTGACTTATACAAGTAATGATTGTATTGATTAGTTAGGCTTTAAACATGTCTTAATCATTCTTCACTTTTAGTTATGGAACAGATGACTCAGAAGATGCGATACTTTTATCTCTATAAAAAAAAAACCATTGGTATAAATGACAGATTCAGTTGTTTTTATGAAAAAAATATTGCATCCATTCTTATGTAACATTTCATTTTTCCCCACACATTACATTTTTTTTCTAGTGAAATAATTGAATTAGGAAATAACATGTTTCTAATGTTATTTCAGTAATTAAATGATAGTTAATGACATTTATAATTTTGTTTAATTCTCACATTTATTAAAACTGAATCAGT